ATCGGGCCAATCATGAATGGGAAGGCCCCGGTCAAAATCCTGAACCTCGCCACGTCACCGCTTCCAACAGCGTCCCCGGCCCCGGTCCTGAAATTACCGATTCTCCTTGAACCCGCTCTGTCGGCATACGCGTATACGCCATCTTCTCGATCAGCGGTCATGCATGGAACACCAAGAGTATTACCCCGGCCACTCAGTGGTCGAACCAGAAAGAAATCCAACCCGGTCTAAGAACCAGGACTCCCGCCCCGATATACGAGAGGGGAAGGCCGGGACAATGTCCTGGTGCAGAGCCCCCGAGTCCTTGACGGTCCAACCAAATCGGAGACCAACCGGCAGGGCTAGAGCCCCTGGTTAAGTCAGTGCTCAGGTTATGATTTAGCTGCGAGTCCGTGTGGGGGGCCCAGACCGTACGGGCAAAAACAAACTGAAGCAGCGCTGGGGAATCATCAGAATCAGCAAGCCGGAACGGAATTCCGTTGGGCAAGCGCTATTAATCTGGGCGGAACAGCCCAGACTCTGTAAGAGAGAAAGAGAGACAGAGAGAGAGAGAGAGAGAGAGAGCCAGACTCGCCTTGCTTCAATTCACATAGAATTGCTTCTACGGCTCACAAATCTAACTACCGAGGAACTTGTACCCGTACCGATAAAACGGTCGCTTTTCAGCTTGTGAAATAAGATTATTATACATTCGAGTTGTCCTTTTGGGGGTTTAATTGGACATGTCAGTCAGGATACCCGGCCTATGATCGAGCTAGTGGTGACTTCGGTTATCGGGTTCTTTCTGCGCCGGCTAGGGAAGATTCTCCCCGCAGCCGGGCACTGTACTTGAAGGCTTTTTGAAAGGAGGCAGGCCAATCCCTCCGTCCAGACATTGAAGTTGCAAACTACGGGAATTGAGTGACCCGCGGACCTTCGCACCGACCACAGCGGGAGGGCACGCGGCAGTTGTATCATTCGAACTGCACTCTAGCCAACTGAGCTCTAGCCATTGAAGCGCAGAAAGCGGGCGACGGATCGAACGGAGAAAGGCGCCACATACCTCATGCACACTGTTTCGACGTCATGGGGGCTTGCAAACGCTCTTCAATCGGAAAGAGACCATGGAAGCGAGGATGCAACTTAGCCAAAGCAAACGGAGCTTGAATGCCGAGACCGTATTGCATGGCAGAGCTGAACGGCAGCTAGTAAGGCTCTGAGGCGGCCACAGAGTCACTCACTGGTCGGGCAGAGGACTGAGAGGACGTGAAGAGTTGCGCGGCAACAATAAGTCATCAAAGCATCGGGTTTGGTACGCGGGGCGTGCTATGTAGACGAGTAGTGACCACCACAACGGCTGCAAGCCTAGCAGACTTGACGGTGCCTCACACGAACTGCCAAGTAAAGCATGATGCATCAGATAAGGGCCAAGACGATAAACATACAAAAGCGAGCAAGCAAGCCGAACATAGTAGCTTATAGCTCAATCGAGAATTACCATACCCATATATTGTGCGGTGCGCTACTTCCGTTTGATGACTTTCACATCCTTCTTTCCCAACTTGCTCTTTGAAGCGGATGCTGCCTCTTCTCTATCAGCTTCCTTCTTCTGCGCCACTGCCGCTTTCTCTTGCAACTCCTTCTGTTGCTTAGCGAAAACGTCCAGCGCAGGGAAGAGCGAAACCGCGAGAAAAGGGATATACAAAAGAAAGATGTAGCTCTTCTCCGGACTAAGCTCCTCCCCCTCCTTGGGCAGCCATGCCTGCTCCTTGTAAAAGAAGTATGACATCAAGGCCATCCCCATTAGCACCATCTTATTGGCATGCACCAGGCCTGTAAGAGCCCCGAACACCACCAGGTTCGCTCCCGCATTGAACTCCATGCGAGAGTTCAGTTCAGGGTCCGTGATGTTCAGGTTCGTGTATCCATATCGGTCCAAAAGGCTGTTCCAGTCCGGAAGAAACGATTCAGGAGCCGGCTGCCCCTCGATGGGGGCAAAGCGCTCCGTGACATCAGCAACGAGCGCCCCTGGGAACAGAAGGGCCTTGGCAACGTGGCTGCCGTAAGGATCTGCTGTCAGGATGACCTCCGATGCCACAATCTCGAGAGGGCTGTTACAGATGCCTTTCCGGCACTTGACACTGCAAGGGGATGGTTTGAAAGTTGATTGGGCTGAGTATACCCATAAGGGCAGCATAACTGCAGCCTGTGATTTCTACATTCTAGCGTAAGAAAATACTCAAGATTGCTGAGGAACAAAGGCGTGTCAGGCTGCTTCTGGGATCATAGAACAAACTTCGGAGTGAAGATTGACTTTCAAAGGATTGGGATCTTTGAACTGCTCTGAAGCTTTGCAAAACATCAGAAATTCTCCATTATTTTACCAATAAACAAGCCCGCTACTTGAAAACGACAGAGGTAGGAAAACTACAAAGGGTCCTAACATACGACTATTGGTGTATTAGCTGACTCTTTGCCAAGTGGAAGCACCACAAGTCTACATAATGAGTCAACTGGGTTCGATATATGTGATACTATCTGATGCCCCCTCAGCAGACAATGCAGAGAGTGTCATCAGTGGCTAAGATAAACAAAATGTTCTGCACAATGGATCCTCCCAGTTAGATAGATCACAGAGTAAGGCATGAGAGTGGTGCAGATCAAAAGTAAACCCAGCGACTATCCGCCCTGCTCTACTTAATAACACTCACCTGAACAGTGGGAACTGGAACATCACAATGACAAAAAGAAGCTGCGCCGCCTGGCGTTTGAGCCTCTCATAGTCAAATTTCTTGCCAGTCCGCAAAGTAGCCATGATGGCAGATCCTGCCCTTGTTACTACGCTTGCTCCCCTCTTCAAAGCTGGCAGCGCCCTCACGTCTGGACCAAAGGCCAGGCGCTTCTAAAAAGTTGCTTTCATACACTGACAGTGATAGTATTATATAGCAGACGAGTGGTTGGCTCAGCGCTAGCTAGCAGCTGGATACAGATTTGGACACTGTAATATTACCCACCTGTATTAAACACAGCAATAGGAGCCCTGTTCTGGAATGCTTTTAGGACCATAATACAATGGAATACAATGGAAAGTTTCTTTAGAACCCGTCTTTTGCAAAAAACAACACATGCATTACCCACACAAACAAACCACTTCGTCAAAGGTCCTCAAAACGCGCATGAAGCACTGGCAGCAAGCAGGCTATGCATTGCAGAACTTCAAGGTCTAGGGGTGGTACACGGGTGGGCTTGCTGCTCTTGTTGCTGCTTTCAATTCCAAGCATCTCAAGGCTTTCCCCTGGTTTTTCAGACGGGTGTTGAGCAGATTGTGCCCCTGGAGGAGCCGTTTCTCTCTCAAGTTGTCCAGCAGCGATCGAAGAACAGGCTGATTGGAGCATCTGTGGCGCTTGCTGTACAAAGAAGAGCCTTCAAAGTCCACTGTTGTTGCCTTCCCAAAGGCTTTGAAGAAGGAAAGAAAGAGATGGGCCAGCCTACAGAGACTGCGCCAGCTTCAACAGCAAATGCTGCCGTGGTCACTGAGGAGGTGCTCTTCCTTGTTGATGTAAGGCACCCTACACGTAAAGTTTGTGGTGGTGTATGCTGCTGACCCTTCATTGAAGACTGAAAGATTCATTTGTTGGAAGTATGGGCACTTTAGTCTGTCAGGAGTTCTCAACCAAGAGGCTAGCAATCCCCCATGGGGGAGTTGAGCGCGATGCCAATTCTTGCAACCATCTTGCACCTTCAAGGGCGGGTCTGGAATAGGTGTCTGAACAACCACTAAAAAGGTCTCATTCCAAAGCCCTTAAAGCCCAATACATGAGTGTTCTCTTCTTGTGAAGGCGACCCTTGGAAAGGATACGTATGTCCCCGATCAAAGCTGGTGTGAGCGTTGACCCTCAAGGCAGCAAGATCAGCTAAAAGAGAGGACAAACAACCTGGATCACCTTGTGACATGCTTCTGAGCTGGCAATGGAGTCTTCTTTATGCAACATTAAAAGGGCTGCTACGTTGAAAACGTTCAGACCCACTTAATTTGCGATCGCAGAGTGCACGGTATGGGGACGTAGAAGATGTTCAGGCAACCTTAGATTCTGGTGTCGATGCCAGCGCAGCAGACTCCAGCGGAAGGACAGGTAAGCTGGCTTTAGTACGTCAAAGCTGGCATGTCCTGTCTCATCTTCTCTTTCTTAGTTGTTTCTTTGTCAGAGGGAGGTCAAGGGGGATTGATGATCTTGGGACCCAGAAGTGGTAAATAACTGAGGGTTGAGAAGTGAGTAAGTCCACTGTTTTCGACCAGGCCCAAATATGGTGGTAGACATTAAAGTCACCGCTTCATCAGTTTCCAACAGCGCTTCGCGTCCTGGAGTCAGAGGATGCAGTTTCTTTGACTCCGCTTCTTTTAGTAGTATTCCAGGCGCATCGACGAGGTCTTTAAATTCACTGTAGCTTTTCAATGAGGATGAGGTTGGGGACACATGGTGTGAAAGAAGAAAGAAGGAGAGAATCAGGCACAATGCTGAGAGGACGACACAAGCAGAAAACTTGGTGATGACAACAACAGAATCGGCAGCCCGGGGTGGTCAGAACCCCATAGTCAACCAGGCTGCCTCAGTTGATCCAAGGATGCAGTAGGTGGAGCAATCTTGCAGAATAGTATAGTAGTTTCTTGTGATCAGTTGGCAGCTGGTTTTCTGTAAAGCCGGGCTCTGAAAGGAGTGGATTGTTTGTATGTCCAGGTGCTTGCACCCGGGGCGCTGCGATGTCACGAAACAAAGACAACAGTCAACTGAGATCAGAAATGAGTCTTATAAGCGATTGGGCACGTCTCTGACTCCAGTTCTCTTTTCCAGCTCTTCACATGGCTGCAGCCAATGGCCACGAAAACGTAGTCCAACTTCTGCTTGAGAAAGGCGCCGTAAGTTCTCACCCGCTCGAGTCCCAATCTGTTTAAAAGAGAGCGCTTTGGTATTACAAGAAAGAGAACAACAAATCCCTTTACGTGAATCTGCCTGGATTCTGGCTTCGTTTGCATATCGACAGGAATCCTCAGCCCGTCCCTTAATGCTCCCTCTCTGTAACGTGATATGGAGTCCCGAGAGATCTTGAAAGACGAAGAACCTAAAAACGGCTTGCTTGTTTGCTGGCCACATACTTAGACCAAGGCCTATGCAAGGAAGGCTTCGACGGCTGAGATCAGAAACCGGGGCCTCTTTACATCGCTACCAGTCTGACCCGTGCCTGAATCATAATGCAGAATGTGAATGCGGCCAATCAAGAAGGGAACACTCCGCTGCACTGGGCTGCGCTCAATCACCATCTGCAGGTAGGCCAACGCTTGCGGGTTTAAGAGACAGGTTGTGAAGAAGTATTTTGATTAAGCAGGTTTGGACCCGCTTGGGCCGGTTTTGACAGTACACACCAATCTGAAAGCTGTTCGCTGTTGCAAACGGGTGAAAGTTGGCCGCTTGCCCTCAAGTAAACAACCCTCATTATTTATTGTCGACCGATCGAAGGCGATTTGCTGAGTTGGGGAGAAGAAGTCAGCGAGCTAGATAGACGGCGCGACGGCGAGGCGGGTCTTTGTCTTACTTTGAAAGTTTCGGTCAAGACAAAGGCCTTCTGTCATCAAAGAAGGGCTCTAGGCAAGCAGATAACATTAAAACAGCAGAGTACGCAAGACGCAACCGGGTTGAGAAAAATCCAGCATTTGACCTGGCCTACCTGAAGACCAATACAGGTCGAACCTGATGCACGCCGCTGTAAAACGGCCTGATGCGCGCCGGGCTCGTTTCCTCTTGGAGATAGGCTGTTACATTATTGAGTGGCAATTCCAAGCAGACCCAGTATTGATCCCGGCGCCTGATAAGTTGCTTATTCCCCGGCCAGATTGATGCTGCTTTTCTTTTTGAGAAGTTGCAATTTCAAAGGTCCAATCTAAAGATGCTCCGTTCAGGTCGTGAAGCGGCTGCTGGAGGCCGGCGCCAACCCTGGCGCGCTGAACAAGTGAGAGACACCCACGACTTTTGGACTCCTCCGGTTTTGCAAAGATCACTCTAGAAATCAAAAGACACTGTTTGAAACCCAGTATCATGTACCCCGTAACTCACCACAGTACCTAACGTAACCCCAACCCTCTCGGGTTGTAACATTGCTTTCTTCTTATTATCACTTTATTTTAAGAGCGCTCTTTTCTGCCCGCGCCCTTCTTCGTCATGCGAAAGCGCCCAACGGCCGACCCTCAGTTTTTGTATCTCTGTGGGTTTGAAAGTTTTACGCCTGAATTTGGACTTTTGAACACCATTCCAAAGCCATCTTTTCAAAGGTTGTCTTTATTGGAGAGGCGATTTGTTGAAATCGATGCTCAGATTAAGAGGATCATGCTGTTTTTGTTTTTACTTAGATGGCATGAAATCTGAAATATCTTATGCAGCCACATCTCACCATCTCGTGGTGGTCTACTCGACTCCCTTCATAAGCGAGTCTTACGATCAAGTAGATTTACGATCTACGCTGTTCTCGTTGGTGGGGCAAACTTCTGCTGCTGACGTCATCAATCTCTGCAAAAGCCGGTTAGCGTCTGGCAGACAGCACGACCATTAACAGAGCTGGCTTGACGTCCGCTGTTCATTGCTATCCTTTCGGAACCCTCGCTTGTACTCTCGAGTCCTGTCTTCAGCAAGATGGAAGCAGCCAGGTTTCCTGCCACCTCTGTGGTTTCTTTTTTTGGTCTCTTTCCTTCTCTGAACGGTCTGACACAAAACGCTCCGCCCTCTTGCAGAGTCGATCGCACACCTGTAGACGAAGCCCTAGATAAAGGCTTTGATGACGTCATCAGTGTGGTAAACACGAACCAGGCTAGCGAGCAAGTGGCGAGCACAAGCCTGGAAGAGGTAGAACAGGATGGGGACGAAGGAGAGGAGGGGATGGAGGAAGAGCGGACATGAATCTCCGATCACCTTCATTTCTTAAGGCAATGCGATTCAGTGCCATCGTTTACTATAAGTACATTGGCTTACTAGAAATATAACTTAGCCGGCCTAGGGCGCCAGCATCTAGGAAGCATGCTAATATGCTATTGTTGTGTGACAAATCCGGAATCGTACATCATGCACTATCAGATAACGTACGTCTGCTTGAGAGCAGGCTGGCTACTTACTAAGCAAGAGTCGACATAGTACACGGTACATTACCCGACAGGATTTAGCAGGCCGCCTAGCTTTGCAGCCGACGTGTTGCTCATATGATCAAAACAGCATGCGCGCGGACTTAAAAATCCAGCAAGTCGAACTTTGATTTTTTTGAATCTATCTAGCGCGCTTGTGTCGATATCTTGCTAGCTCGATAAGCTCGAGGTGAATCCGAGTCGAGCGTAATGATAGGCCGGCTATACATAATCATGACGGTGTGGACGAACGCTTTTTGTTCCGACGACCCTCCATGGTACTATACCTGCATGCAGGTTTGAGCCCAGCTGACTACAGTCAATCAGAGCTCCACCTATAGATACATCCTCAACCAAGCAAGGTTACTTACTGGTATAGGCACAAGCGCTTTAAGCAATTTACATCATGAATGTTGCAAAAAATAGAGTAGAAGTTAGGATAGGCGTCGAGTGGATCCAAGCTGCATGAGGAATGCCTCGACTCATCCTGTGCATCCTCGAAAGCAATTAGGCTTTTATAAAGGCAGCAGGAGGCAGCAGTAGATGTTCACAACGATATAGCTATCATGGAACGTGATCCCCCGTTGAAGCAATGATAGCCGGCGTTGCCGCCACGGTTTAGCCCCGAGCTTGCCATCTGGCTACTAAGTGTCATGTCGTACTTAGACAAGACCATGCATGACATATGCATCATCCTTTTTTCGATCCCGCTTTGGTCATGTAAATTTGCTGAATGCTCCAAAGATCCCGCGATACAGTCCGGCCTCGACTTATGGCAGCTTGTGTCGGATCTGGTCGACACGCCATACTCGATATCGAAGGTCACCGACACACTTGAAGCCTCCATGATTCACTTGGACCCTGATCTATCTCAGCGCATGATTAGCTAGCTGTAAATTAAATGCTCAGTGCTGATCTGCAAGGGTTCAAGAATTAGGACACAGGTGCCACCTAGCTTTAAGTTACCTAGAGGAAGTCGATCGGCCGCCCATCGTAATGTCGATGGATTTGTTCGTGTCAGATCCTATATGAATGTTTGAAGGCCTTATTTGACAACACCACCGACCTTGCTGTGCCTCTTGCGACATTACTTGCTACCTATGCGAACGGCCATATACTTGACCGTCACGCCTGTCCAATTGGTTAATGTTTGACCCAACGTTTGAATTTAAAAAGGTCGTTAGCAATTTATCAATCCTCATCACAAGGGTAGTCTAACACTTTTGCGAACGGGTAATCTGATTATCGTCAACGTATACTTCCTGCAGTCGCTAGCTAGCGCTCATAATAGGAAGCAAAGCGTTACCTTATAACAGCTGACTCCTATGCTTTGGAAATGTTCCAACCTGATACTTAATATCCCCCCCCCCCCTTCCTGGCCTCAAGACAATTACGAAGCACCGATCATTCTCAAATGTGGTCTCCATCACCACTCGTTCCGAATAGTCGAATAATGGTCAAAGGTCCTCCAAGCAAGGGTTTCGGTTAGTGCGGGTAAAAGTACTCAGGTTTGCGTTTAACCTGGTACCGGTGCTTATAACCGTTTCACACTTGAATCGACGGGTTACTTGGAGATTGATAGGTGATTAATGTAGTGTTAGTCGGACCAGGGCGCAAAGTCGCCGCTTTCAGGTTTGACGCAAACCGGTATGTGGTCAAGAACTAGCCCTCGTGCTGGCGATGCCCCTTTTAAGGCCCTTCTTCAAGTGGGCAACAACGGAGTCTAGGGCTTTGGACCAAGCCTTGTGGACTTGCGCCGTGAAGTGCTCTCCCCCTGCAGAACAGATCGGGTGCAAGTGCTTCAGACCACAGCGTCGGTTCAAGTCTCTTGTATGTCGCAGTCTCATGAAGGATGAGAGGGTTCTCGAGCTTTCTGCCGTGATGCTGACAGTGGCAAGATGCAGCTGAACACTGCCTCCAGATTGCGACAGGTCTAGAAAGAAAAAGTAGAGCGGCAAAATCAAGATAGAACGGCCGGCTGCTCGACCGCAGAAAGACGACCCGAGTGAAACTGCTGGTTTTCGCGTGCTCTTTCGAGGTAGGTACTCGGGCTTGAGAAGCGGATCGCGTGTCCGCTATTTGGTGACCCTACTTCTGAAACTCGTTCCTTAGAAGAGATCACTGCCCACGGTTGCCCGCGGTGAAACGCAGGCGTCATAGACAACTTGACTGGCGAATGAGTGTCGCTGCGACCTCAACCGCTTGTGCCCTTTCTGAGCGACCATCAGAGGGGAGCCTCCGCGATTTGGCCGCCCACGGGGCCGGTTCGCCGGCGGCCTCTCGGAGAATTTTTCCACAATCTGTCTGGAGGTCACGTGAATCACGCGCAGATTCTTCTCCGTCCTTTAGTCTATGCGGATCAACCGCTTCTACATTCGGCCTACACCTGTGGCGCCCACAAAATAACAGAAGCGGCAGAAACTGCGCATTTGTGCACTCGAGATGGCGCCGCCGCCACGTCAGCAAGTTTCGCCGCTTCACCTAGAGTTTTCTTCAAGGCGACGAGGAACGCCTCCTTGAAGACGCTGAACATGTCCGGAGCAGCTCCGTACGCCACGTGGCGCTGGCCCAGCCTCTCGAGGACGGCCAGGATCCGAGAGGAGCTGCCGATGCGGCACGCCGCCAGGCCGATCTGCGGCGGGAAAGGGGTTTGCAACGGGTTAAGAAGCTGGTTCGCACCCGGTTGTGGAAGCTGGTCGGGGCGTCTGTAGGCATTGCTGCTCCGGTTTGCTTGTATGGTCTCAGGTGTTTGACCTGACACTTGCTAGCTAGCTGTTTGAGTACCCTGAGGAGCTACTGTTCGGTCTCCCCGCATAACAAGGGGATTGGCTGTTGTCGATCTTGGTGTTTTCTAGCCACAAAGAAGGACTCGGATTCTCGTCAAGAGACTCCGACCGTGTTGACGGAAAGAACATCAGAACCTGCTCGTTCGACGTTACTAAGGCGCCAAGTAATACCAATTTGAGAAAAAGGAACGAAGCCTGATGTCGCGCTTTCACTGGAATGAGAAGGAGCAGCACAGCGGGCGCTAACGTACTCCTGAACTCAACGAGCGAAGCAACGGCCCACGGTGGTGACAGAATCGCATCCGCGTGCGTCACAATGAGGTGCCCCTTCCTTCAAACGTTCTTTCTTCTTTGCAAACTTTGGACACCGCAGATGCAAAAGCAATGGTCTTCGATGGAAGGCAGTACCGATCACGGTTGAAGCCGTGAGCGGGGACCCACTCTCCTTTTCTTCGCGAAGGACTCCATACTATTCTAAAAAGGCCATACCTGATGTCCAGAGACTCAGCGTGGACACGGTTAACGTTACCAGCGGCCAGCCCGTGTTGGAAGCCCACATCTCACTGAACCCTTTCGGTCTAGGTGTTCAGTAACTCGCGGTGGCAACAGTCTTGACCGCATGCATTCAAACAGCCGCGCCCATGTTCGCAACATGTTCCTCCGCAAACACTCATTTGTTCTGGAAAATGAAGCAACAGGGTCTAGCAACTAACGGTGGACACGATCTCGACCGCGTGCGTCGGGATGGCGTGCCCGTCCGGCGTCCGGCGGTCGCCGTCCGCCAGCCGGAGCGGACACGTGTACAGCGGGCGGGTTTTGGGCGCCTTCTGGAACAGACTGCGAGGCGAAGGCCGACAAATTGTCTTCAGGAAATGCAGACAGGCACAATACTGCCAAACCGGACGAGGTTGAAGGTTGGCCCTTTCGAAGTGGAGAAGCACCAGAACGGGCGCCTGGATTTTACCAGTGCTTGCAATTGGTGAATTGCAGCTTATCAGGCCTAGGAAGCAAAGCCACAAAGGAAAAGCGGCGAGCAGATAAAGCGCGTAGGATCGACGAAATAAAAACCACAATTTATTGACTGCTTGGAGCACACTGGCTTTGCCATCTTCTCTTGCTCAAACCTTGGTACGTCTGACCTCCGCAAGCTAATCTGCCAGGATTGACCTCTGACGGGTTCTCCTTAACCCCGTTTGGAACACATGCCGGTGGCCTTACTGTGTGAAGACGGCTTGCCCCAGATCCGCTAACCGGGGTTGCAGAAGCTTCCACGTCTTCTGCACCAGCTGCTGCTCGAACGGGGACAGCTGGACCGACTGCAGAGCGGGGATAAACAGACAATCTGCGATCAGACTTGTTAAAAGTCGGGCCACTTCCGTGGCTTATCCCACGCTTCTTTAGGACAACATACTGTCATTTCTAATCAATACTTCCGCTTAAATAGGAAGTACACAAGCTGTAGAGCCACAGATCCACCATGTTGAAAGTTACGTCCAGCCACGCAGCTTCAGGACCGATCTCGAGACCATCGTTTTGTACTTTTTTGTTGCCCCAATATCTTGTGGGCAGTAACGAAAAGGGTCATGTGGGGCGACAAGCCAGGGCGGAAACCGTGTAACAAGTGCCCTAGGATGACACAACCGTTATCTGCTAGATTCCATTGAACATGAGACGGAATGTGCGGCAGCCTGCGAAGGCGTTTCGGCTTGGAGCGAGAGCTTGATTTGCATGTTTCATGCACAAAGCCGTATTGAAGGAATTTCTGAAGGAATGAGAGGAAGCAATCCAAGATCAGGCGTCGAACGCTCTGTCGAGCGCCCCCCTAAAGTCGGAACGCCGAGCTGGTGGCGCTGATCGTACTGACTATCACAAAAGCACTATCGTAAACTCACAATGCAGATTCAGAGCAACAAAGATCAGAAGCACAAAAGAATCCACTTCGAGCACGGTGTCATGCGCCCTGATAACCGCCACAAAAGGGGCCCACCGTCGAAGTGATATTCTTCAGAGCGCGCAGGAACCACAAAATGGAACAACCAGGGGACACCACCCGTCACCAAAAACAGCATCGCACGTCAGCTTGGTCAGCGCCGGTATTTAGATCCACCGCTCGCTGGATTGAAAAGACGATTGGAACTGAGCACACAAAAAGGAAAAGGTAGAACGAGATCGTGGACCGCAGATTCGAGAATGGAGAAACAGACCTAATTCTACCTAATTCGTTACCTCGAAAACGGTGTCGTGCGCGTTTATCAGCGCCACCGTCAGGTCCACCGCCGAGCTGGCCGCGCTCATGGCGCTCACGATGTTGTTCTCCCCGTGCCGGCTGCCGGAAAATGAGCCGCTGCCCTCGCCGTGACGGCTGCCGGAAAACGAGCCGCTCCTGCCGTGCCGGCTGCCGGAAAAGGAGCCGCTGCTGCCGTGGCGGCTGCCGGAAAAGGAGCCGCTCTCGTTCGCGCCCGGGAAGATCTCCCCCAGGAACAGCGGCCGCAGTAAGAGAGGCGCCATGCACCGCGCGACGGCGTCCGTGGACATGCTGTTGGCCGCCACGTGGCACGACACCACGTGCAGGGTGTGCAGGATCCTGCGGACGGTGTGGACGGCTTCAGCAAACCGGACAGTTTGGACAGTCGGGTCTACACAGTGAGCTTGCTCTTGGACGCTGCGGAACCGGACACGGGTGACGGGTGTGTGTGGTCGATCTGGAGGTTCTTATAAATTGATTGGAACTTTAAAGGAGAGTTTCAGGGGATCAAAGGATCTCGGATAACATCGGACTGAAAAGCCAGGTCATCGGCCGACGTATGCAGCGTGCACAGCGTTCATACAGTCAAAACGGATGTCGATGCGGGTTCAAAGTTGGTCTATGTGTCTTAGACATCCGGACTGATTTCGAAGTTTCGGATGATACTGGACGGGATCTGAGAAGTGACCGCAAACGCCTTCACTGAATGATTCACGCCTTCCTTGGAATCGGGGCTGCTTCTCTACTTGAAGTGGACCAACAAGCTGAGGAACCGCAGCTGTACGCTTTAAATCTCCAACACGATTCCCAATAGCACGACCCGACAGTCTACGATTCAGAGGGTCTTTGCCAGGACATCGCAATTCGCGGAAACAAGCGCTGCTCGGAGAAAGCCGCCAGATCCCAGTTCTACTCCAGTACGTTTGTCGCAATGGAAAGTCTTTTTGGAAAAAAGTGCCCTATGGCCTCTCCCTGAAAACAAATCTGCAGCTGGCCTTTTGAAGGTTTGCGGAACATCTCAGCCAACAAAGCACGACCTTCTCCCTATTCCAAGCAGTTTCAATTTCCTTTAGAAACGAATGCACCACATCCTTCGGCAAAGTATTATCCAAGCCAACAATCGAAGGCAAAGCATGGAGAATAAGAGCGGGGGGTCACGTGCCTGTGCATAAGTCTCCTGTTTTCCTCTGGGCATGTCTCCACCACTGCTGTGTGCAGAGCCTCGGCCTCCGTGCCAGCTGGCGACGCAACTGCATCAACAAGCGACGAGCCGTCCATCAAATCTCTGAACATCTTCACACCTGTAGTGCGCATTTGATTTTGCAGACGCGGCACGCGAATTCCTACACCCTAGCAAGCAGACAAAGATGCTAAGACGCTGCTCCCTTAAGCATCAAATCTCGAGATACTCTTCAACGGGGTTTCTGTGGGATCGATGCATGTAGGGCTACCAGATCCAACTTCTTTTGAGCGGCAAGCCAGTGTCAGATGCATCGACTAGCAGTCACCGTGAGATGTCGGTCACAACACAGTAAGTATCAGAAACTTTGGGAAGCATGTTTTGACATTTTAATGTTGGGTTGGACGGCAGATCAAAATTCTCAACAGGAAATTAATTTATCTCCAGCTTCACCCTTCAGATATTTGAACACTGTGGAAACTGCTCAATGGAGTTGATCAATACATAAGGCCCTCGGTCTTACCGCGCATCTGAGCTCAGGCAGTTCGGAGAGCGGGATCTTGGAGAATCCACCAGCTTCATAGATTCGAAAGTCCTAGACCACCAAAGAACTTAGTAACCCTGAACAAGTTTGCTTAGCAACTGGGTCCATTGCAATAACCTAGTAGTCACCGAGCAGCAGTCTGCAGCACTCCTTGCGCACTGATAGGAGGGAGATCTGATGACCTTAAACTCCTATGTACCCCACTGGGTTCCAAAAACCAAGAAAGGGTCGAGCTCCTTTGGACCTTACAGTAGGCTCGGAGCAGCGCGTTGCAGCACCCCTCAGAAACTGCCAAGGCGGGAGTCTGCACATTCGAAAACCTGAAAGACCCACCAGATACAGAAAGCTGAAGTGGGTGACTTCTGTAAAACCTTACAGTAGGCTTGGAGCAGCGCAGTGCAGCACTCTTCAGGCACGGGCGAGAAGGCCATCCGCCGCAGCTGGTGTTTCATGCAGTCCGCCACCACATGGGGGTTTTCACGCTCGCCAAATTCATCTTTCCCTACATGAGTGAAGGAAGGTATGATAGTAAAATCCATACGCTTTGGGCTTCGCAAGCACGTTCATTTGAACGTTGAAAGCAGCGAGTGCAGTCCCCGGAGCGCAGCCACCACTCAGGATTGAAAACAAAAGCAGGGAGAATGTCACGAAACTCTCTTGAAGAAGCAGGGTCGGCAATCAATGAGGGCCTTTGAAGTACCAGCCTCCTCAACTTTTGTTATAGCAGAGCACAGTCTGGCTACATGGCATGCAATTGAAGTGATGGACCAGACAAGGGGCCTCTGAAAAACTTTGCCCTCTATGGACCAGGCTCCAGATTACTCAGAGGGCGACAGAGCTAGAGTGCATTAGTGTATGAGGGGTATGACTCGCACCTTGATAATATGTGGATAGCCTGTACTCCACTTGCTCAACATCTGCCGACTTCCTCAGGATTCCCTCCGCCACCGCGCCTCTTGTCTCCAGAAAGCAGAGGGCCTTCTCTAACATTGACGGCACCCCATTGAGGTCCATGAGGGGTTCAGGTGACGCCATGCTCATGTTTTTGGCCGGGAGTGCATAATACTCAGGCCTTCGTAGTCTGTCCTGATCCAGAGATGCTGACTCCTGCAAGTGCGGAGGACTGTGACCATCAACTGACACCATCAGCACAGTTTGTTGCAAAGGAGAAGGCACTACCGGCGCTTACGAGCTGAGTTCAGGGTCAGAGGACTTTGCAACCCATTTTCAAATACATTGCACAAGGGACAGCTTAAAGAGTTCCTATGCGTTTGTCGTGCCAGACTAAGTACGTTCAGCACTTGGTCAGACGTAAGCCCAATATCATTTGAGACTGCCGCAGCTGAGTCCTTCCTGTGGCAATCATCCAGCTTGCAATCTGGGTGTTTACTTTTGCCAGTGGTTTGCAATCACCTTCAGATTGGAGAATGCAATCATAAGGGAGCGAAATGTGGTCCATTCAGGCAATGACGATGACGAGGGGAATCAGATACATGACGAACGCTTCCTAGTACAAAAGAGTAAAAAGATTTGCAGCTCACCAGGTCCAACATACCGTCTCACTTCCCTTGGACCCTTCCACAACGATCTGTAATAATTCAGAGCTTCTTTGCTATCCAAGACCGGTACCGTAGTAATCCATCACTTGCAGATGGATTCACCTGGATTGATGCATCAAGCAAGATTCTCAGCTAGTTATGACTTAAAGCTGCATCAATTGAAAGGGGGTGGTTGTTTATTGCTTGATCCGTTCATTGCCCAAAAAAAATTGCTGGCTCTTGATTTCAATAGCTCGCTACTCTCAGATAAGCATGGAATCTCGCAGGTTCCTTTGTAGACTCTGCGCGTAAGGCATAGTAATCTGAGCCGCGCACAGAAGTTTGAGCAGAGTCAACTTTGTCGGTCTCCAGTATGTAATTGGCCGTCAATCATCGTCATACATCCCCAATTGTTGTAGCCCTATAGGTCTCATCAATGACTTGCTGCTTTGTCTCACAAGAGTCCAGTCTGCTAGTCCAGCTGGCTGCCACATATCCCTTCTTGCTGATTGGAGTTAGCAACACTCAATTAGGTGCAGCATTGAGATCGTTGAGCTACCTGTTGACTTTGGCGCCTTGAGAAGAAGTCCAGATCGAATTGAGAAGAAGTCCAGATCGAGATCTGCTACCGTCCCTGCTACCATGCTATTCTCTCATGCACGTTGCTGGCACAAGCTACTGTTCACTTAAGCAAGGGGCCTCCACTCAAAAGAGTCGAAGTACGTACCTATTTAACGCAATCCCAAGCTGACTTCATTCCTGTCCTTCACGTATGTACGTCGTCATGGATGCCGCTTCAAGTTCATGGATCCTGCGGCGGCCTGCATTTTGCTCTCTTGGCGGCAGCAGCACCATGAGGCTCGCCAGATGTTGCAGTTGCGCCACATTTCTGGACGACGCGTCGCGACGGACCTGCAGGCTGCAAGCCTGGTAGCAATCCCGGCCCGATTTTGCAGCCCGTAATTCGGGGCGCCGAATCTCGATATGGTACGGACTGACAATTTGATGATTGGACGGACTCCGGACTCCGACGGAGACGGTAGACCTGCAGGCTGCATGGTGACGACCGTACGATCTGACAGCTTTCGCCCTGATCTTCCGCAGTCCGGACCTTGATTGAAATCATTAAACTCGGAGCATGTGAATAATGCATGTCATGGCAAAAGGTGCAAGCAGATATGTCGGATGGGAGTGTTGAATGTTCAGAATCCAGATTCCAGTATGACAGACCTCGGTTATGTATGATGATCCGATCATTACTGTATAAGCCTTCTTCAGCCTCCAGGCTCCAATGGCAATGGGTCCCATGCGCGACAGGCGACGGCGGCAAGCCTGACCACCCCCTAGATGCGCCTCTAGAACACGGACATATCCTGATAAGAAATTTAGGAGAAAGAAACGCATGTTTGCCTGGCAGGCTATACATCCTCCTAAAAGTAGAGGTTCGATCGATTCATACATTCAGAAAATGTAGACATTTCTACAACCATTTTCACTGCACGTATTCTTTTTTCCTCCAAACCAGTTTTTAGAAAAACTATGACAGGCCCATGCAAGGAATGGGAAGCGTTGATGTCAAATCCGGTAAGTGGCGGCTCGATCAAATTTATAAAAAACACACAGTCCAGTCAGACGTCTACAGATCTACTGTAGTGGGTCCCGGTCAAGATAGTTTGCATCAACCTGGCAAGATTGATGCACTATCGTTCAGGTCAAACGATAGTGCTCTTAACTTGTAAATTGATATACTGATCACTGCCCTTTAAACAGCAATTCCTGATCCAAATGCTCAATCCTCAAGAAAACCTTCGATGCTTTCAAATTACATTGCAAAGAAAGGTGCGTATATGCATGGCAATCTATACATGCCGTACATGCAATGGCGTCATATGCTCTACGAGCCTCTTCTTGTGTCAAACTGCGCGTGCGCGAAGCTACTAGCCTACCAAAGTCCGATCAATGACAGCATATCCCCTCTTGTCGATTACCACGACCTCAGCCTACAATAGCTCTTAAGTCAAGAAGCACTGAGAATATTACACAAGCTTTGCCCACTTTACAACCATTTCACCCACTTGACCCACTTGAACCAGGATTGAGGAACGTATCCGACCAGCCTGCTCCACCCCGTATTCTCCTCCGGCAAGGTGACGTTCATGGCTTCCGCTTCGATCATTTCCGCCTCCCTCCCTGCGGTTTCCGGCCGGCTCTTCAGGTGAGCGGAAACTTTCCGCTCCACATAGTCGGTGGGCAGATTGAGGATGTGCATCGTCTCGTCCCAAAGCTCCGCAGCCAGGCGAGGGTCCTGCGAAATGAAAGCGACACGATAACGTAAGCCATTGCTCAATGTCGAATAACCTTCACCCAAATGAAGTAGCAGATAAGCTGACGTTAATCCGAGGCCGTTCAAGAGTGCCACTCCTTGAATACAAAGAATGCAGAGCTACGGAAGAACAAGTATGTTCAATCCAACATGCGAGCGAACGTTGAAGCTTTGCGTAAAAAGAAACTGAGTTTTACGGGCCGAAGGGCCCGAGTTTGACGCCAGTTTACGACATTCTCGAGCGCGGGGCTAAATAGACAGCTTATCCTTCGACCAGACTTTGATACCTTACCGACTTGGTAGAAGTCTCGCGTTTATTCTAAGGCTGATCGTGGAAGGAAAAATCTAATATTGGCTCTGGGGTCGCCGAAGCGGTCCGGCGCCGAGTATAAGCTGATGCTCAACGCTTAGCGCAAAAACGTTCATGATTTAAGAAGTTTTTATATCAGCCAAACAAACAGCTAGTTCGAAAATTTAGGACCAAACTCCGTCCACCATCCATTCTGATTTCAACACACATCAGAACCCGAGTTCTCCTAACCAGGGTCCGATATCAGTTCTTTGGAGCAACCCCCGTTTGCCGGAGAAGCCAATGTAAATCACAAGCCCCCAGAAATCGGATACTCTACAACAGAAACACTTAACACTCTCCTTCACCAGAAACAAAGAGCCAACAAGACGAAGCGCACAAGTGCCTTACCTGAGCCTGGGGGCCGACGGTCTCTGCATACCCCCCCGCATTATAGTAGGGCCCTTTCCGCGACTGAAGCGCCCGCAGCCTCCTGGCTTGCGCGACTACGACCGGGCTCGTCGCCGCGAAAAGAGGGCCCCGCGCGCCCTCGTTGCACGTCAGGAAGATGCCCAGCAGCGGGCCGAGCGCCTTGTAGAACCATTGCACCACCCACAGGAAGTTGCGGATGCCTGGCACGAAAAGTATTACGTTAAGCGACTTTGTCTCTCAGATCACTTCTCGGAATCAATGGGCGCTGTTTCGAAACCCTCGAACGGAGCAGCAGGGTCTGTGAATCGTTCGAAACCATTGCACTACCCACAGGTAAGTTGCGGATCGCTGAGATTGAATTACGATAATAACGATCTGTGAGGAGTCCTATCTTCCGGTCAGGACATCTGCTTTGTAAAGCTCTCAATCTGACAGTCAAGAGGGCGACGCTTTCGCGAAATCGATTTTGCGTGCAAGATCCGCTTCTGCTTGCAACAATACCAAACCTGCGATACGACCCGGGCGCTAGTCAGACTTGTTGCCTCCAAGATGACCCTCGTTTACCGCTCCATTGGGATGGAGCAGAGGGCAAACATTCAGAATCGCAACTTGCAATCCGGACAAGGAAAACTTTTCTCTCCGCCCCGTCCGGTTACCAAAGACGTCTCAACCCAGTAGACCAAAACCTACCTTCGGTTCCGCAGAAGCCGGGGTGCATGGCAACCACCTCCGTATGGGCGGTACTCGGCAGCCGGCGGTGCAGCTCGATGCTGAAGATGGTAGATGCCAACTTGCTCTGGCAGTAGGCGCCAAACATGCTCCACGCGTACCAGTGCTTGCCCTTGCCGCGCCGCATGCCCTCTAGATCGACGGTCGTCACGAGCTTGTGGCCCTGCAGAGCAGCGGGATCGACGGTTAGGAAAGGGTCTTGAGGTAAATGGAGGGTTGGGGAAAGATTTCTGAGTGGGGATATACATCGACAAGCTGGCGGTCGACTGGCAGCCAAAGAGAGCCATAGACCGGTGGTTCTGCAGTTGGCATCGACGAGTGCCGGGAGGTCTCAGAATGGAGCCAAAGGAATCCGACCGTGTTGCAAGCCAAGAGGTCTGCAGAGTCACAGGTGCGACAACAGGTCCGACATCGAGGACCGGGTATGATAGCAAAATTTTAACGGCCTTCTTCCAGCCGGAAATTGCGCAAGAACCGGCGGCTCTGCGAGGGCACAGGTTGTGTCACTCAGAAAGTCGCACGCTTCTTCCGTTTCCGTTCACAAGCGCTGGCGCTCGAAATCTTTCAAAAGGAAAAAAGAGAAGACGCAGAGCGTCGCGACCGCCGGTTTCCACTCTGCCTCGACTCTGACGGCACATATCGTCACTTGACGAGTTTGCTGTGCCACGCCGACCCTCAGAAGCGACCCAACAATGGTCATATATTGGAAGGATGGTGACGTTCTAGACGGGCTCCATTAACGTTACCAAAGTCAGTCACCCAATTTGATAAGTGAGTCCGCAGCAATCAGATCGGTACCGATTGATCTGGTACCAAGGCTCGTAAAGAAGAGGCTACCGCTCAGATCCTCAGGATGTACGGCCGACCAACTGTACGAACAGCTGCTTATGATCTAGCTTGGAAAAACCAGAAAATGTATGGAGACATTCCCGCAGAAGAAACCTCATTCAGCTAGTCTCAGTCTTTGTGTTTTGAAATTAACGGGCTTTCACATGCGGGGACAAAGTCTGTTTTTGCGGGGGAGTGGTCATGACAAGCTTCGACCTTCATTACGCGGAAACCGACCGCCAATGATTATCTGTAATAGAGTTTTTCATCCGACGAAGAGGACCGGTCAGTATTAAAAGTTAACAAGTATTTGTCCTCCAAACGCGACGGGCCGGACAACTTCAGCCCGACGAAAGTGCCTGAAATCTCACCTCTGAGGTGATGTTGACGATCCTAGAAGGAGCTCCCTGCAGGAGGGACGGCAGCAACAGCAGGGACAGCAGGGCGGGGGCCAGGAAGTTGACCTGGAGTCGACAAAAGGGAGCAGTAAGTTGGCAGGCAAGCTATCTTAGATCTAGAACTACTCGAAAAGGGACAGGTGCAAGTCACGTTTCCAATGTAGTCACACCCATTGCTGACTGCTAAGATGGATGCAGAAGAATTATTGTGATTGAATCATCGAAGCAATTAAGACCAGGCCGCTAGGAGGTACACTTCAGAAAGGCTGTAGCTAAACCAGGCCTTGGCTCAAGGGAGACCCAGTACATTGTGTACTCTCATATGCTTGGCCCAACCAGGCTCTTCCCTCATCCAACTCAGTCACAAATCGTATTCACAGCATCATCGTTAGTAGCACTCCGGACGTTTTGACATTCATTTAGGCAACGCCTAGTAGCTCACCTGGAAATGCTCCTCAAAGCCCTCCTCAGTGATGGGCGCCCAGTTGAGGCCACGAATGAAGACGCCTGCATTGTTGATCAGGCAGTGCAGTGGCTGCCCCCGCTGCTCCCACTCGTGAGCGAACGCACGCACTGACATGAATGAGCGCAGGTCCAGATGCACCACCTGCGAAAGAGCGTGCTCTTTTCTCTTGGAAGGTTCTAGAAGATTCTGCCAGGAAGCTTCACTGAGATTCACCATCAAGACAGCCTTGTAGACTTCGTTGAAGCACCTGTCCTTTCTCCAAAGTGAATCCAAATTTGGAAGTTGAAGTTGAGCTGAAGCCTATCACTTTGATCTGGAAAGTGGGTCGATGAAAAGACAATCTGCTTTTCTAGTTTGAGGCTTCTTTGTTTGGGACGCCAAGTAAGAGGCTCTGAATGAATGCATTTGCATACAGGGCATCATAATCATGGGTTCTTAGGGTGCGCGAAAGCGGCAAGAATATTGTCCAACCATCAAGCAGAGGCAGGCGTCCTTGAATGCTTGGAAGAACGGCTCACTCACAGCCCCAATCGATATAGAATAGACTTGATACATGCAAACTTGACTGTCACCACTTAGAACCAGGAACTATGAAAAGTCCTCCCCGTCCTCTGCCTCACCTCCACATTCACCTCCACCTTGTGCTTCTTCCCTTCCTTTTTGATCTCGCTCAGCACCTTCTGCCCCGCCGACACATCCCGGCACGCCAGGACCACGTTTGCCCCGCACAGGGCCAGCTCCTTTGCGGTCTCTTTCCCGATGCCGCTCGTGGGGCCAGTGACAATGAAGTTGCGGCCACGGGTGAAGTACGGGTGGACGGCATCAGGGGTCTGCTTCCAGCGCCGGGTCTGCCACCTGGTGAAAAAGAGGCGGATGAATACAAACTGGTCATTTCGTAGATTCGAAGGGGTCACAACTGTTGTTGGATTGTCAGAAAAATCCTGCTACTGTGCTGAATAACCTGGCAAATAAAAGGGTCCAGAGTATCAGGGTCAGCTGTAGTAAGCCGAACTCCAACAGATTGATGGGTCTGGCGTTGATATGCTTGTCAGCTTTACTTCTCATCACTTAGATGACAATGAGCATTTACTGCTTCTGAAAGATCTTCTGGCTGCAAAGGGCACAGCTAACAGCATCACCATATGGAAGGTCAAACCTCTCAAATCCCATCACTTGACGGTAAGGCGACTGCCAGGGAAATTTCACAGCTCGAACGAGAGCACGTGCTAAGGGTCAGCTAAGAACTCTTATTTTCCCTTCCATGCATTAAAGACGCAAACACCGCTTGACCACCAGACTGAGTGCATGTGATGCATGCAAGCAAGGCATAACTTACAAAAGTTGCAATGCTGACGAGGGCACTGGCTTAAATCATAGACTGCGATAAATGATTCTTGGCCAGCAACTGCAGCTCAACCTGAATGTTGCACCAAAGTCTATCAACGGTGTTCTCGTAGCATCTCTTGCACCAGACACTATCAGCAGTTCTCTAATAGCATCTCCTGCCCCAGTACTTCTGTGCATGAAACTTACGCCAAGCATTGAAATGATCTTCTTTCTCTGATGCAGCGGTTAGTCTATCTTAGAGCAACCCCTGATAACCGACTGAACCTCAATCAAGGTGCATGCATGCAAGAGAAGAACAAACTGAAAGCTTCAAAAGAGGAAAATGAAGTCTTACCTCTGCGCCAGCACTGCCCATGTGTTCCAGAACAGGCCCACAATGATCAGCCACGCCCTAAACAGGAACTTAACGATCTCATCTGGGGCAAGAGCAGCCTGCAGAAACGAAGTGATGTCGGAGGGCTCCATTTTCCAGGATCAGGAAGTGTCCCCGAGTGCGTCTATGATTTTGAATCTCTCTCTATAGCTGCCAGAATCTAAAGCTGAAAATGAATAAAGCCTTTCATGATCGAGCTCAATGCTGCTCGGCTCGACTCCAGCTGAATCTGCTGAGCTCCGCAAGGTCGAGCGCAGGTTCAACTTCAAGTTCAACTTCCGGGTTTGGGGAGTTCCTTTTTGCTGGATTGTCAGAAAGCTCGCTGGGGCGGCCGGTTCTTCGCCAAGCAGACAGCCGACATGCTTTAGCGCGGCCTGCCGGTTCTTCAAGTCCACAGCTGGCGTCGATAGCTTGGTCGGGTCACAATATTAACCATCTGGCAGAACCCGTTTGTGGATGTGGAGGTGAGGCGGTAGATGAGCAGCTGCACTTCCTCAGCTGCCAGTACCGTGGTCCGTACCTGTATTTGATTTCGGCACCTTCGACGCAAAATAGTTAATTATGAAACTTTTATCCCTTTCAGCAGGCTCGACGTTACCTGCAAAAATACATTATCGAACCATTATCGCCCCAAGATATTTTCTGAAAATTTCAGCCGGCCAAATAATTATTTATTTTTCGCCGAAATCAAATGCAGGTACGGTAGCAGAAAACGACATCTCGGTCGTTCGCAGTCAACCAGTCTGTAGGAGCATCTGCAGCTAGCTTGGCAGAGCTCTGCCGCCGTTGTTCACTGCACATTGACAAGGTTGGAGATACTGGAAAGCAGGAGCTAGCAACAGCGTGTTGGAGAAGAATGGCGGTCCAGGAGCGGCACGCTGCCGCTGCCTCAAAAGCAGAAACTGTGCAACCAACAAGCCATGTTGGAACAAATGGATTTCCAGCACCTACAAAAAGTCGCAGCGAGCTCAAAGGCGAAGCGGACCAGCCGAGATTGTCACCTCTTCAACGCCGCGCACGTCACTTTATCACCTCTTTCTTGCCAAACTTCTGGTGGTGGGCCACAGTGATCCTGTCGGTCCCGTTCGCTGCGTATGCTATGGTGAGGCTTTACCCTTCTATCAAAAAGACTTGTCACCTTTCCATAGTGAACAGGGACCCGTGTATTGTGAATTATCTGTCTCTAGCTGATAGTACTGTGTTTAGCAGGCTGCAGTGGTGGTGCCTATTTCCTGCATTGTTGGAGTTTCCAGTTGGCTGACGCTCAGTGGTTGAGACTGAAACTTGTACAGTCCATATGTTTAATGTTCGACAAGTCGTGTGTATGGTTCCGCTGCACGCGTTGGCAGTACTCACGAAAAGAGATTGAGGGCTCCTTTCTTGGCCAACGTCCAGACAGATCCTCAAAAGTTTTCTGCTTGATCATGTGCTTCAGAGAGGTCCAGGTTCTTTCAGCTTGTTTATCATCATGCAGTCCAGTCAATGTGTTCTACTCTCAACAAAAGATTCTGAACCTACATAAGATTGAGGCTCTTCCATTGAAAGGCCATTGAGTATCTGACCACAGATTACTCCAAACTAGCATTACATCCTTTTCAAAGTCAGGGCCCTCTGCAACAGCTTGTAATGCCTTGGTTAGCCTCTTAAGACCTCGGCGTAGCTTTCAGTGGTATGAAAGTTGGGGGCACAGTTGGGGGACGTAGTAGTTGTACATGTTGACATTGGCTAGGGCTATTCATCTTCAATTACTGTGCTTTTTGTTATTTGATGACAATTTTCATTTTGTCCTGCTCAAAAGCAATCCACAAGGTCAATTGAGGTCTGACAAGCCGCTCCCTGCTTTGGCAAAATTGGCAGGTGAAGGCAATCAGCATGACTTTTCAACTTTAGTAGTCAGCCAGAGAGATGACTAACTGACTGAAATTGATGCATTGCAGATCTATGTCCTGGCATACGAGCCTGCAATTAGAGAAATTAGTCCAGGTGAGATCTGTGCCACAAAGAATTGTTTCAAAACGATCTCGGTTGCCTACATAGGATTGTTTATATTCCATCTTTTAGCCAGCTTGCCTCTTACCCTCAACCCCTTGGGCCCTGATGAAATTGAATTCTCCCAACTGGCTTGGCACATCCAAGCTCTCTCTGCTTCAAAGTCTGCTTCTTCACAAGCGTGGAAATATTCCTGGCTTCTTTACTCCTTTCTGAGTAGTGGCAAGCTGGCTTGCGTTTTTGATTGATTTCGTTCGAGATGTCCACGGGCCTAGCTTTCACACAATTTGCAGACCACCCTCTGCGAATTGTTTGTGAAAACCGAAACGATCCTTCGCTGGATGCAGATAATCGGCATTGGCGCTTCAGATGTTGGTTTGAGTCGATGTCCTTCGGTAGTTTTCAATTGCAGCAAGTCGTGGGCGAATATTGCAACCGAAATCAATCTTGACTGGTTCCCTTCTTGCTCAATGAACGGGCAATCATTGTGCACGCATGCACGGATGGTTCTTCCTCTTGATCTCAGTGCAGCCGGAAACGACATGAACTACGAGATCGAGTCCGCAGTTTATCTGCTTCTTCCCAACGAGTCGAAGACCGTTGTCTTTAGGACTAAAGCCTTCCCGTTCACGTAAACAGTGACTACAACTGTACTCCTTGTGAGCTTTCATTTCCTTCGAAACTCTGGCAGACTAGTTCTAACAGCGGTGCATATTCCAAACTCTCGATTCTTACAACATACAGCTTCCAACTTGGGCGTGTAAAACCTAAATATCACCACGCCTATCTTTCTGAAATAATACCTTCCGGAGTATTTTGCAGATTAGACTTCACTAAAGCTGAACACCAATCTAAACTGAGTATTACTTATCGTGTGCAGCCAAGCAAGACGGCCTACCCGACACGGGCACCTACTCCCAGGGCATCATCGACCACATGCTTCTTTGGCAAGCCCACTCGCTCCTTGCCCTCGTCTACCTCGTTACGGCCCCCCTGCAGTTCATCGACCGTGTGCGCCTGACACGTGTCCCTTTCCACCGGGCGAGTGGATACGCCTTTCTTGCCTCGGGGGCCATTTTAGCGGTGACTGGTGTCGTCATGTCCCCCCACAGCGAAATGGCCCCCGGCTTTGTGGTGACGTCAGCGATCCTGGCGCCGGCCTGGTTGTTTTCGGCCGGAAACGCGTTGTGGAGCATCAAGCAGAAGAGGATGCAAGCGCACCGCGAGTGGATGATCAGGACTGCGGCGATCGGGTGAGGAGAGCCGTTTCGATTGGCCGCTTTGCTCAGAACGATTTGGGATAAAAGGAAAGGCATCTCATCAAAAAATTCTGAAATCCGTAAGGGTGAAAGCGTAGTTCTGGATCCTTACCTTTTGACGAGGTTTGTCCTGACTTCCAGACGAAGCGCTTTAAGCAACGGTGGGCCTTGTTTGCTTTAGCGCCTGGCTCATATACGCTGATTCCTCCAACCATATGCACACGTCCTAGATTCTCATTGCGGTTTGCGGGTTTGGTAGATTCCTGAGCCGCCAGTCCATTAAGGAAGCCCCTTATAAATTTACGGGAAACGGACTATACCGTGAAAAAAGCTTGCCCTTGCCTGATGGGCGGTGTTAATGCAACGGAGATATTTGTCCACGTACTTGGAATACGAATAAGATCAGGCCTTCGATCGAGGGGATTCAAAGCTTCGCGCTTTACTAGCATCTCTGACCTCTGTCACGTTTGCAGATATTCTGTGGTATACGTGCGGCCCGTGGCGCCTCTTATGCACCTCTTGTTGGGCACCACAAACGCAGAGGCTTCAGTGACGGCCATGTGGATCTGTATGTTGCTGTCATTTGCCGGGAGTCAGCTGTACATCGAGATGAGATACCACGGTTACGGGGGTGTCATTCCGACTAACAGGAGATGACTAAGTTGGCAGCTTGCCGCGCACTGAACCGCTAGTTTGTGCACTGACATTGAGTTAGAAAAAGGAAATGCATTAAGAAGAGTATGCCTGGTCCTCGAAATCATAGGAGGAGGCTCCGTCACGAGTTTAAACTTATACGTCAAGGCTTCACAGGGTTTTTCCCGCTTCAATCTTCAATATGTAGAACTTGACCATTTTAGTTGTAAGTTGTATGACTGGCAACCTGAGCAACTCCACTCGTTTTATGCACGTTTTATGTAGCTTCAAGATTCCTTCGAAGCTGTAAAGCTGGACGCCCTCATAAGAGTGAAAAGACCGCAGCTCAAAATCATCAATGTTTGTAATCATGTCAGGGCGGCTGTTTGTTGTTAGTGCTAGACTTATCAAAAAGTAGGAAGTTGCCTTCTTTATCAGATACCTCATGGGAAGGGCAACGGTCCATCGTACATGGGCGTCCATTATTTCACAGCCACTTAAATTGGAGGTATAGATAGTATACTATTTGATTGCGCCTGCCAATGCAAGACGTCAGGCTCACGGTCTCACATGCACCGGCTCATGCTGCAGCTGCTCATGCTCCTGGGCCACCGGCCCGGCATGCGCCACACACATGACTCATGAGATTAACATGTCCTCAGATTTACCGTAGCTAGCGCTGGGCAGTGCGAAAGATTGAAGCCTCTTCTTGTACCGGGCACTTTGATGAGGCGGGATCGTCAAAAACGCCGGTTCAATATGCATGCGCACGATCGTTGTCAAGACAGCAAGTAAAATTCACTAAGCGCTCGATTACCGTTACCTCAATCAGACACCTGTTTGGAAAACCGTTGACGTATCGCAAGATTCATTTGCCCGGGGAGCTCCTAAGGGTATCGTCATTTGGTAAGTGGTACCCCCCCATTCTTAAATCGACCATTTTTTCGAAAGCTACCTTCCTAGGACCCCCTGGTGGCCTCCTTCGGGCGACCAAGCCCCAAGCCACCCCCCCCCCCCTGGCTTGTCGGTCACAGAACTTAGCTTCGATCTGGCCCCAAGCCAAGATTTTCGCATTTTAGGCCCCGCTTTTGAAGTGGAATTTTTGAAGATTTGAAGCAAAAGGAGATGCATACCGGAGGCATACCGGTACCTTAAATTGGGCACGCTCATGCACTGCTTTCTGCATCTTCTCAACCCCACTGTGCATTTGGTGGAAGACAAGAAAGCCCACTTTCTGGTCGTATATATTCGAGTCCATCTCATTACAGATTTTGATGATTATGTGGGTATTTGACCAATCAAGCGCCTGTGCTTGCATGGGCCGCCGGCCCAAGCCTCAAGCCCGCCCCCCTCCCCGCCAGGGAGCTCGGACTCACTCCTAGCCACCCCCCCAGGGCGGCTAAAATTCCCGAGTCATGGGCCTCTAACGGGTACCCCCTATAAAAGAATGGGGGGGTACCAGCTACAAAATGACGGTACCCTAACGAGCCAGCTAGTGCCACTCTTCAGTTGTAAACCAATCGAGGGACTACACAGTGTACACTCGTCCAGCCTTCCTATAGCCTCGACCATCTGCTGTGTGACAAAGTTCCACAAGCAGACAAGCACTTCTAAGGGCGCCCCAGCTGGATTTGCTGCTCTTCAAAGGTGCCTCAAAACTTCTTAGTAGTTGAAGCTTAGACTGAACTCTTTGCAGAAACTCTTGGCTCAAGCTGACAAGCCCATGGCTGCTGCAAATGTGGTGATTGTTGGGGGTGGCCCAGCTGGTTTGCTGCTGGCGCACTATCTTCTCCAGCGGGGGGATGCCTACACAGCAGAGCTGCATGAGGCGCGTCCAGACCTGAGAACCGAGTCAATTGCGTAAGCTTCTCTTAAGCGTCATGTGTGGCTCCCAATTTACTTTGCAAGTGGTGCTGAAATAAGATAGAACCAGCAACTGTACAGCCTGTGCTCAGCTTGCTTGCCCCACGATGCACAATGCTGGCACATACAGGCTTTCCCGGCAAGGAGTTGCTGGTTCAAATTGGCGATAGATAGTCTCTGCATGATTTTCCAGTGGAGGTGTTTGCATGCATACAACAAAATGGGCTACTGGCTTTGCGTCAATGCTGGGGGAATGAAGCAGAGGAGTGAGCTTTTGAAGCTGCATGACAGCACACTCTGGCTCCACCTGGTTGTTGTCAGTCTCCTGAGCTACACACATTGTCGCCATACTGAACGAGGTCCCGTCATGTTACCTGGATGTAGAGATGTCTCTGCAGAACAGTGAGCTGGGTCACATGGTGTGTATGGCCAAACCCTTTGGATAGCATTCCATGACCTTCTCAGCTGGACCCAGTTGCAAGTGAAAGGGTGTCAACACATGGCTGCTCATACCATAGAGCTCGGTGTTCAATCTGTTCGTAGGAACGTCTCACGGCGTGCCAGCATTTTGAGTCCGTGAGCTGCTTCAAAGTCCACCTGTTCGTCTGAGAGTCAAGTGGATTGGTGAATGTTAAAGCAGCTTGGCGTAAATTTCAGCGGGAATCGTTGTTGGGAACTACCCTTCCTTTGCAGAGTGAATCAGCCTCACTTAGTCAGACAGCAAGGGCACACAATCGTTGATGCCAGGCGCTGGATCAACAATAGTGTGTTGCTATGTCTCTCAGCTCAAGCAGAGTGCCAGCACGGCATCGGCCTCAACCACTGGTACCCACAGGCTCCTCAAGATTCTCAGAAACTCTCTGCTTTGTATTATCTCAAGTCTTTGGTTGCAACAGCCAGGGAAGTCCATACCAGTTTCAATGGGTCCCCTTCTATTGGATTTGCAGTGCCCGAAACCGCCAGTATGCCATCGGCCTCAGCGAGCGTGGTCGCAATGCCATCCAGGGCGTAGAGGGGCTGTGGCCGCTAGTACAGAAGGAGGGCGCTGAGATCAGCCGCTTCGTGCTGCACTTTGGGAAGCGGGAGCAGAATCTCAAGCGGCGAGCCGACAAACCAAGCCTGCTAATCAATCGGTCACAGCTGGCGGCGACATTGCTGGCGGAGCTAGAGCGGAGGCATGGTCCAAAGCGGCTCAAAGTGAGTGTCTTCCTCATTTGATGAATCTGCACACGGTTTGCGCTGTTTCAGAGAAACTTTTCCTAAGAACAGGTTTCAAATTAATCGTCAGCCCTTGTGAATGCTAGCTCTGCTGCTAAGCCGAACTGAACCGAAGGCACAATACAACCGGCTCCGAGATTATTGCACACTTCTATTTGGAACGCCTCCTTTGTTTGAAACCGTGTCTGTCTGCTTTGAGGCCCAAGCTAGCGGCCACGCTGTTACAAAACGTCAACTCGAAGCACGAGGGAAAGCGATCTGACAATACCAGTAACGAACTGTTCTTTAGATACCCAATTGCAATAACCGACCAGTTCATCCAAAGGCCTTTGGGTCACGTAATTGCCGGAGACCCCAGTTCCTGACATCCTTGCCCTCTTCCGCAGTTGCACTTCAACTCCCGCTGCCTGGGAGCCGACTTCGCGGCCCGCACCGCTTCCTTCTCGGCGTCCGAAAAGTGTCCGTACGACCTGCTCGTGGGTGCCGATGGTGTCCGGTCGGCGGTCCGGCTGGAGTTCCTGAAGCGTCGTGAGTTTGATTATCAGCAGCGGAGCGTGGACAACGCGTGGAAAGTTCTGCACGTGCCACGTCCGCCCGGCATCGCGGTCGACGCCGTGCACAACTATCGGTTTCAAAGGCCAGGTGCGCTTGATCTTCTTGCGCTTCCTCTCTTTTTCTTCGACAAGCTTGGCTGGGCTGGACAGAAGACGGTAGCCTTCAACTGCCTGTCTTCGTTCACGTTCGAAGCCGATTTTATTTAATTGCAAAGATGGACATGAGAAAGAGGGATGTTAAACAGAGGTAGAGCCGGAATTGTGATCGCGAGTGAACCTCTTAACTTTGCACCTTGGGAATCCATCTGACTTTGTACGAAAATGGCCGTTCTGCTTTCAAGTCACGAAGTATGCCCTACAAGTTCATGTCCATTCCACCTCAAGATGTTTGCGGAACGTTCGCCGATATTCATGCCGCGACTTGGCGGCAACTAAGCCCGCTCTGTCGAGCTGTGAATCATCTTTTCAAATTTCCTGACATATTGTTTCCGTAACGTCTTGCTTCATGCACAAAATGTGCTGGATCTCTTGAGCTCTCCACGACAACTTCGCTGGCTGCCTGCATGGGTCCCAAACTGGCTTCCAGGTTTGCGCCGCAGGACAGAGCGGCGGGGGTCCGTTCGGCTTGTTCGCAAAGCGGGACCCGACGCAAGGGGACGTGTTCGCTCTCGCCATCCCCACCAACGACGGCGGCCTTTCCGTTCTCATCAGCTGGGATCCCAAGAAGCCCCCGCGCGACTTCCTGGCGATTGAGAGAACTGACGAGGTATGGCGGAATGCAATGGAATAATTGCGTGCACGCCTTCCGCCTTGTGCTGTGTATGTGTGGGTGTCAACCCGAGCTGCCTTTATTTATGGACGTATCAGCATCTGAATATTGATCACATTTTTTTTCGGCTCATTCCGCAACAGTGTGTTAGACTCATAGACGCCATTGCATCTACTTAGATTGTCGTGATGAGTCTCTATCTACACTTTGGCGTAAGAGAAAGCGCGGTTGGCGTCGTAGTACTGTCCAACGCAGGAAGGGTCGGTCGCACCATCTGATTTGCCTCTTTCTCTGGCATGGGCATACTGTCAGTATGACTTGCAGCGAGTATCTCTGAATATGTTATCCTAAAGATCGACTGGTACTGTCAACTTGACATGCAGTGAGTGTCTTTGAAGTGGTTATTTCAAAGATCAACTTTTTTTTAACGAATTTTTCAGTTTACTTCTGATACATCTAATGCAACATTGAGTTGCCTCTGGATTGTCGTAGCAAGACAACGGCGGTGTTCGCCTTGTTCTCTCGTCCTCGAACGACGCTTCGTCTCCTCACAATCTCTTGACTACACACTTTCCAGATGTCGGCCTTTTTGGAGCGCCTCATCCCCGGCATTACAGTCTCGCCCGAGGCGGCCGAAGACTTCCTCAAGCAGAGGGCGTCCGGCTACATGCAGGCAAGCTTCGGTTGAAATCTTCCCCAAACCAATCGTTCCCTCCGTACCACAACTAGTTGACGCTCGGCGAAAGTTGGACTATAGACCAAGCGTTGGCACCCACAAAGCTGGAGTGGTTTGAGTCGATCGTTACTGTGCGACCCGGGCTATCATGTTGGCCTCTGGCGCGTCATTCCGCCAGCAGGATAGGTCGGAGCGGAAGCTGTTAGTCTCTCGTGGGAGATCGATTATTGCGGCACGCGGCATCCTTTTGCAAGTGGCCTTTTGTGTCGCCAGCTACATCCTCCCAGACCTAGGTAGACACTTGCCGTTTCGTCAAATCTGATCAATCAGCTGACATTCGTTGCAATCGTTCAGGGGTAGGTGCTCATTCCAAGCACTTAGTACCCGCTTTCTTTATCTTTGCGCCGTTGTGAACTTCAAACTTAGATCTACCTCCTTCCAGTCTCCAATGTGGTCGCCTTTTGTGCAGGTCCGCTGCAGCCGCTACCACGACTCCGCCGGTCGCGCGATTCTCATAGGCGACGCTGCACACGCAAATTCGTCAGCTCTCGGACAGGGTGCCAATTCTTCCCTTCAGGTGAGATTGCTCGCGCATATTACCAGATGAATGTAGCGAATTCCTGACGTTGCAAGCGGCTTTCCAATTCGTACCCATCGTTGTCTCGGCCGCCTGTGACAATCTGTAACTCGAGATTCGGACAATCACAACTCGACCCGGGCCGCCAAAGACGTCGTATTGTCCCTGCTAAAAGTGTTTTGAATCTGGGCGATCTTAGCCTGCACTTCTTGTGGACGAAGGTGCTAATACGCCGTAGCTGGACTTTAAGGAGTCGTACTGAAGGCAGGTCGAACGACCAGGATTGACCGACGGGGCCGTTGCTTTTCCTTCCAACCTTTCCGTCCTGGCTCGTGCTTTGTCTATGTTCTTTCGACGTGGGTTGAGCATTCAAATCTCGTTGTATCGCTATTGGCTTGCTTTTGTGCTTTCGCTTGAGCATGTCTTTCTCCTTTTTGTTTCGTCGCCGGTTATTTTATCGCTGTCCGGGCGACTCAGTAGCATTACTGTACTGAGATACCGATTTTCGGGCATGCAGATAAGTCTCTGAACGTGCTCCTGCAACACACCCTCTGCTTGTCCTCTCCAGGACGTCGTCGCTCTAGACCGCATCCTCAGCGAGTCCCGTGACGACATTGATGCGGCTTTGCCCCGCTACTCCGAGTTGATGGTCCCCGAGGGTCAAGCCCTAGCGGAGCTAACCGACAACTTCTTCCCCCGGTCTCGTGCCCTGGCAGCGGTCAGCATCGCGAGGCAGTTAGCGCTAACCCAGATCAGTAACTGGTTCCCCAACCGGGTGTACCCGCCCATACAGAGCCTGACGTCAGAAACGCTCATGCCGTACTCGGAGGTAAGACGACGAGAGATGCGGCCGCAGGCAGCGGGGACGACTCTACCAGACTTGATGCTTTGCGCGCTGAATAATCAGACAATCTTTGCATGAGTTTGTATGCTTAGTCGTTCCTTCTAATGCCCTCACTGTATGCCGGTCTAACTGATGAACAGTGGTGTTGATGGGTTAAAGCTTGCTCGGATGACGGTCGGGACGTTAAAAGATACAGGGAATTCGAGAGCAAGCCAAATTTCGGAGCGTCGGCATTCACCGACGCAAGTCAAGGGTGGCTTTGGTGTTCGAAGACGTCACAGCACTTTGACTCGTGCAAGGATGTCGTCGAGATTAATGTCGTGTTTTTGAATTTGAGACACTAACTTGCACGTTCGGCTCTCCAGGGTGCATAGCCATCGCGCGGTGTCGGTACCGGTCAAATCTATGTGAAGATCCGCACTATACCCGTAGGTTGTCGCCATCTGAGGCAAGTCTTTCCGACTTCGATGACCGCAGGCGCAATTCGGGAATTGAATATTGTCAACGTCCAAAAACTCTGTCTTGCTTGCAGATAGCACGCATCAATCGGCGGTGGCTGAACACCGTGCGTATGTCGAACGAGAAACTCAAAATGGAAGGGCTACAATAGAGGAGGAACCCGAAGTTGAAAACGTAACACTGGCCTCACCAAGAGTTGTGGTAAGTTTGTACATTACACATTTTTGAGAGTTGCCTTTGGAAGAGGACAATGGACGGCCATCAATGTTCGCCGTTCTCTACCTAACAGATGCGGTGTTGAAAGAATGCAGTCCTAGAAAGCCTTTGTGCGGAGCTCCGGTTACTGCTCTTCTTGTTGCCCGTAGACTAGATATCTTCGAAACTCGTCAAATGGTCAAAGGCCAATTTGGAGTGGCACGTCAATGAGGTCAACAGACTGCACTGTGTGCGGGTTATTGTTTGCTATGCTGAAAGCCAACCGTTGTATACGTTCTCGTGCATGTATGCATGCCCTAATATAAGGGCAGCAATAAACACATGTGCATGAATGGACGGTTAAACAGATTTCGTGTACTGTATAAAACTCAAATCGTTCATGCATGATCGCAATCATCGGTACCGAGTTGTGAAGGTGATTGCAGTCTTTACTTTATTGCGCCCCGATTGAACATAATAATCTTCTACAGCGGCTTGCATGGTGAATGATTGTTGACAGGCGCTTCTGTTTGAATAGAGCTATCGTAAGCTTAGCTGTAACGTACGGCGTGTCAAGAGGCGGAAAGTTCTGGAGCTCAAAATTACTAAATGAGCTCAAGAACTTGCTGGGTCGCCGTCATGCCATCTACTGTCATTGCCAATCGTCTGCAAGAACGCATGACAAATCCTATTGGATAAAACGAGAGGAGTGCCAGGGATGCATTAATGCGCACATACATTTGTATGCAGCCAGGCTGCCTGTGTGAAGACCAACTTACCTTCGAAGTGGCGAGTTTCGTTCATCGAACGCCTGGCGACCTTGTAGTAAATGTGCCGGTTTTCGCAACAGGTACGTCTGGTGGCTGTAGTACAGCCCATTTCAGTTGCGGGCCGGGATACGAAAGTACAAACGGCAAGCCGGTTGTTTTCAGTCTGCAGGCAATCAGGAGCAGGACTCGGAAGAAAAGGTGGCGGCATGGCCGAAGTGCAGGTTGACGTGGTTCTTTGCATGGTGGCTATGCATGCCGCACATTGAAAGGAGAATTGCATGCTGGCCCCCAAGCCTCAGGGGGGGCCCCGCTCTGCCTGCCCAGGTGACCCTTTCGCAGGGAGACGTGTCCCCAGCCCTTCTCTGTCTCGGGTGCAATGGGGACTTCCTATCACATTTGGCATGCTGGCAGCAAGGCAAGCAGCTCGAAAAGCAGGAAGGCACGTCCAATTGTGGTGAAAACAGCCAAGGACAAGAAGGAGTTCTTCGAAGCTCAGCCCTGCGTTTGGCAGCTACAGGAGGTCAATTTCCACATTGTTTGACTGCACTTCATTCATTACTGCCCTTTACAGCTCTTTATGGTTTCTGCTGTGGCCGTGTTGCCCCGGGCGGGCTGCACCGCGTTACACACCGCCAGGCGACTTGGGAACCAGACCCAGCTCTTCCAGGCGCCATTTCTCAGAGGAGGGATCCCCTTGCTGCAGTGCTTACCCCCCGCCCGTCAAAACCGCAGCGTCAGAATGGCCAGCAACAGCAACGTAAAGGAGCGCCGGCCAGCTGCTCCGGACACCAACAATCGTCCAAAGAGGGGCATCTCGGACGCGGAGGCTGCAGAGAGAAGGAACAAGCTCAATAAGTCGGTGCCCTTGGGGGATCGCTTATTGACAGCCTCAAACCAGCTGCTGAATGTAGTGGCTTATCCAATCGGGTTTGGCGTGCTGGCGGTCACGCTGCCGTTCATCTGGGTGCGGCGGCTGTTCTACGAGGCATTCAAAGAGCCCCAGGATATGACTGACAAGGTGGTGCTGATTACAGGGGGGAGCTCAGGCATTGGAGAGGTGAGCTGAAAAGAGGGGTTTACATCTATTCTCGTCGGGTGCTTTTGAGAGTAAATCAGGGGCAAATTGGCAAGTGTTCAGGGCACTTCGAGACTCCATCTTACTCTTTAATGTGGCACGTGAGCGGGGAGCTTATGAAGTTGGCAAGGTGAGGGTAAGTTGGATGGGAGAATGTGAACTTGTTGCCTGATTTGGAGATGAGACTTGCAAAGACTTTCGTAAATTTTTTATTTTAAGTTGGGTCAGTGTTGCATGGATGACAATGTATGCATACCAGTGATGTTCTTGATACCGTCATCAAAGGAAGTGGGTAAAGTAGTGGACAGGGGCTGAGAACCTGTCGGCCCCGTTTCCAAGTATGATTTGAGACCAGGGGTACATGCAAAAGTATATATGAGATATATTGAAAGCTTTGAGAAACTTGGGCTTTTTGATCCTTGTGTTGTTTTAGAGGGTTACTGCATGCATGTGAATCTGATTGCTTCCAACCTGATCGTCACTTCCTGACTACAATCCTGCTTCATTACGGGATATGCTTCAGTATGGTAGTTCCCTTGCGAATTCCGGTTCTAAGTTAAATCTGGTCACAGATTGAAGCAAAGGTGAAGTTTCTAAGAGGGTTCTGGATGTGAGATTTGCCAGAGTTGCTCAGAAACAGAGACCTCAAGAACAAGCTCAATTGGGACGGCATTGGCTTGGGCATCTCATACAAATGTTATTCATATATGCTGAACTGTGTAATGCAGCACATGGCATATGAGTACGCACGCTTGGGGGCCCGGCTCTCTCTTGTTGCCCGTCGCAAGGACAAGCTGCACGAAGTGGAGGCGAACTCTTGGTCAGTAACTTTGAACCAATGGCAGACTCCATTCAACAATTATTTGTGCTTGTTGTGGTAGTTCAGAGCCCTCAAGAAAGTTTGCCACCTAGGGGAAAGTGGCAGGTTGACCATGGAAGAGGAACTGTGAGCCCCTCGTCCAATTGAGAACACATGAATCTACCCCCTGCACTTTGTGCAAAATAAGAACATCACCTTTTTGAGGCCTCTTGGTCGTTGAGCTTCTAGCAATCTGCAGTTGATGTTGTCCTTGACGGAACTGATGCATCCCACTTGCCTAAAGACCAATCTCTTCAAGAAATCGATCGTTGCTTTTGTTACAATCTTCCGGTTGAACTGCAAAGAACGTGTAAGGTTTTTTGCTTAACTGCCGCTTGATTTGTTACAAATTTTGAAGTGAAGCGCTTGTGCTGAGCAGGGCTCTGGGCGCCCATGATGTCATGATTGTGGAGGCTGACCTCGGGGACGAGGCCGGGTGCAAGCTGGCGCTATCCAAGACTCTCGAACATTACGATCACTGTGAGTGCAACGGAGAATGTCCCTCCGGTGACTTAGTCTTGATTTTTGGAATAGGAGGATTGTTCATTGACATTAGCTTCCTTTGAAGAAAGCTTGCTTGAGTAGCTGAACATGGTGAGAAGCTCGATCGATCGTCCTTCAACGATAATTGTCCATTTTGTTCAGAGAGGAAAACATTTGGGCTTCGAACAAGCTTATAGTTTCTGCGCTTCGAGTTCTTTCTCGAAATTCAGGTCGAGAAACGCAGCCATGTGCGCCTTCTAAAACTCACCGTCCGCACTTCGAACGGCTTGTGAGATTGCGAAGCAACTGAGGATAAGGACAACACTTTTATGTCGAATCAAACCAAACTGGAAAAAAGTGTCTCTGCTTTTAAGGTCCATTCCTACTAAGGTTGCATCAACTAAAATCTGCGCCCCTGGCAAGATCTACATTGTGAGATAGAGGGACATGAGGCTAAAATTTCGTTCAACCACGTTTATCAACGGTTCTTTGTGCACGCGGTCTTTCTTTCCGAGAGTGGCAGAAAGCTTGTGGAAAAGCGTTCTGTCTGTTGGATATGTTTCATTGCACATTCTCACTGCATATTAGCGATTTGCGAAGTAATGTTTACTGTTGTTGCAGTGGACTTGCTGGTAAACAACGCGGGCCTCTTCAACAGTTTCTACTTCGACGATGCAAAGGACACCAAGGGCTTCCAGTCCATTCTGGTAAGCTCCCCCAGGGTCGTTTTTGATGGTTAGGGTCATGTTAGGGAGTTAGACGATCTTGGGACGCTGTTAGACCTGGCTCGGTTGATGATAACCCGGGCTTTCAGTCCATCCTGATGAGCTCCTCCAGGGTTCTCCTTGATAGTTAGCGCCAGATTAGAAATATTGAAAGATCTTGGCAACGGGAGTGATCTGGGGACGCTGTTTGACCTGGCTCGTTTGGCGATAACCTGGGCTTCCAGTCCAGTGGTAAGCAACCCCGAGGGCTGTCCTAGAGGTAGGGCTGGGTCATATACAGACACGACCTTTGAAAGGAGCGAACATCCTGCCCTAGAAAAGCGCGGACGAACCGGAGCTAGACCCTGGTTCTAGGCTGGTTCGTAGTGAAGGGGAACGGTTCCTGCAAACGGGGACGGTTCCTGCAGAACTAAGCCGGCTCCGGTTTGTCCGCCACCGCTTCGAGCGGAAGCTCTGGTTCGGATCGGGGCTCGTTTCGCTCCTCATCGAAGCCAACGCGCCCTGTGTAGTGCGACTTTCTAAAATTGTACTGGCATCGTATTAAGGAACAACGGACTTCCTGCGTATTTTGAGTCTTCGAAGCTTCTTTTGATCGGAGTGCGTTGATCCATTGGCTGTGAAGATCTGAGTTGTCACACAAGTCTATTTAACTGTGTTTCTGACTTCAGGCTCATCATCAAGGATCGAACAGCACTAGTTCCCAACATTGAATGAGGTTGACTCTTGACAACAGACGCTTGACGATAGGGTCTGCTGCACGTTCTGATTGGTAGCTTCATTGCCTTATTGTTTGTTGGACGTCCTGAACATGTTAGTCCGTGGAAATGTCCCGGCCGTGTGGCGGTTTCAATGATGACACTGTTTCTCGTGCTCCACTGCTTGAATCATTCAATCGCATATTAATGGTCAGTAGAAATACATCAGTAAAACTCGTGCAGAGTTTCCAGAAGGAAAAACAGTCGATCACGTAGTCCTTGTTCGGTTTCATTGTAACGAGTCTTCCGACAGGTATGATTGCAGTGGGCTGGACGGCGGAATTTTGATGAGGATCTAGCTTTGGGTTTTCCGCTTTGTTCGACGAACGGACGATGCTACGTTTGCTCTAAGTACGATATGTATGTTCTAATCAATTTCCTCTGCTTGCCTGCGCAGGATACCAACTTTTGGGCCGCCGTTAACCTGACGCATCACGCTCTGCCCCACCTCAAGGCCAGCAAGGGCCAGATCTATGTGACCGTGTCCGTCTCCTCGATTGCGCCTGTGCCCATGAACACGCTGTACAACGTGAGTCTAAGCTGCTCTTGTGGAAGTTTCGGTCTTTGAGGGACTCTGTGGGGGCCAATTGCGGCAAAATATCGTGAGAATGTTGTGCCTTTCGCGGTGTCTTGTTGAGAGGAACATGATTTCTGGAGAAAAATAGATATGGCGAAAGGGCTGGAAGACGGGTGAAGCTATGTGTTTGGTGTGTCAACCACGGCGAGGCTCTGTGTCGACGGAAGGCGATAACTTGCTGGTATCGACCTCCAGTTGCCGTCAAATGCGGGCGCCTGACAGGTAGCCCTGTCGTTTCTCTTTAGTCTGATTGTTTCCAACTCAAGCCGTGTTTTATTAAAACCCGTGCGGCGATAAGTGGTACCGAAGCGCAATTCTGGTCGAACGTAATAGCTCAATGGCATTTTGGAACACGATCCTGTCCAGTTAGGATCTGAGAGTAAAGAGGGCAAAACGTTTATCCCATTCCTTTTTTCGCCAGAAGTGGACCCATCTTACTGGAAAGATGAGCGTAGGTATGATATTGAAAGCCGTCTCGATGTTGTATACATTTCGCAGGCGTCCAAGTCTGCGGTCGCCAGTTTCTACCACACGCTCCGCATTGAGTTGGGCGACAAGGTGCCGATCACCATGTTCTCCCCAGGCATCGTCAAGTCCGAAATGACGGACGGCAAGTTCATCCAGCCGGACGGGCACGTGGCGGACTACGAGGAGGGCATTCAATTGCGCAGGGTGAGCGTTTCGTTTACGGAGTTTCCTGCAAGTTCGTTTTTTATTTTCCTGGCGGGTTTGCTTTGAGTTAGTGTCTTTCCATTCACTCAGGGCTTGTCCTGGCTCTGGTAAAGTTAGGCTCTAATAGTTATGCGGTAGACGTTTCAGGAGATTGTTTAAGACAGGCGTGGGAGTTGAAATACACAGGACCAAGAAACTGGCTGGCCTGCAGTGAAGTATTCTGAGCCTCTGGAACTTTACGTCTCGCATTTTTGCATCTCTCAGTGTCTCGAAACTCTTTGAAAACCCGTCTTCTTTGAATCAGCAAACTTCGGATTCTGGTGATTGCGAATCTTTTGACTCATCCAAAGTGTGTTCTTCACCCACTCCTTATCACCTAGGCAGTCCTCTTGGGTCTGCCAGAGCAAAGCTGTCATCCCTTCACTTGCGCTTAAAAGGGATGGTATTCGCCAGCAAGAAGCAAGACTCCTAAAAAACCATTTTGCATTGCAAACTTTTCCATGTCACATACCTAATTTGCGTAATTTAGAGGAAGGGATGGGGAGAGCATAGAAAACGACGTTTGGAATTCTGATCTGTTTTGCAATGATGTCAGAAGCTTGCTACACTGGAGAATTTCCAAATCGCGCCGTTCCAACTTAGCAACAATCCCATTCGCCAGCAATTGGTTGAACGTGTACAATTGTTTTGCAGCAAAATGGGTTCGGCCTGATCCCGCTCCTCCCGACTGCGCTCGCCGCCCGCGCTGCTGTCGACGCCACCCGCAAGCGCAAGCCTGACGTCATTTTCCCCGTCTGGTACGGATTGTTTGCTTATTTCCGCCTCCTTGCTCCTGAGATCTTGGATCCCCTGTTGCGGTCGATTCTTACGGGGAAGCCGTCTCCGTTGAAAAGGGTGCAAGATGCGGTTGGGGGGGGCCTTGGCGAGCCTAACCAGCAGCAGTTGGAGAGGGGGGGTATGCGGAAAGTTGGGGAGAAGGATTCTGTAGAGGAGAAAAGCGGGGCGACAAAGTGAGTTGCGAAGATCAGAGTGCCCTTTTTGAGATAGAGCGAAGTAGAATTGTATATAGGGTATTGTGAGGCAAACAAAGACAGCGTTGACGGATCGCGGCGTGGCACGTCGGGTAATTGTGAACCTAGTCGGATTCCAAAGTCGTCAAGTGTACAGGGCAGCCTGAATGGCGTGGTATAGTTCTGACGATACGAACAGCAATTTTCCCGACAAGACGTTTTTGAATCTTCCATGAGTTGACACGAGGTAATCAGCGTCGCACTTCATATCTCGTCCCTTAGATACTTGTAGCTGGTGAAAATCAAAAGTTCCATGTAACTGATTACGATGGTGATATAAACATACTGCAATCTGCCTGTATACGCGTTTCATATACTGCCTTGAATATGATGCATGTCCTCACTTCGTGATTGTGCTGAAATCGTGTCGCATGGACCGGCTTGCATCAATGTTTCGATTGCCAGTACGTGCATGTGCAATACATGCAAAAGGCTCATAATTGCATGATACATGCATCAAAATCAACACTTTCAATGCATTTCAAATGCGACAACAGGTTATAACTCGCAGTCGAGCAAAAACTGTACACATTTCAATGAATTTTTCTGCATGGCACACCGTATCCTAGTCCTACACAGTCCTACATACGGTATTATGAAAATCTTGCGGATGTGGCCGGGCGTATCTCGGTTGAGCTAATTGAACATTCTTTGGGTTTCCGGAAACGACCTGCGTTACCACTCAATTTCGCTTCGCGGTCGGGCAATAACACGGGCGACAGCTACAGTTAATAGCGTAACGCTCGGTCTGACCAGATTTGTTCTGCGCAATTTAGGGTTTCTTATGCCGGAAGATCTGAGCGTCAGCATGATTGCGCATCGTGCCATACCGGTATTACTATTGCTCACGAGCCTGAGACACTGTTTCTTTTCAAACGAGCAGACGCAGCCTGCAATCTGCAAATTGCAGCCCCGCTTTACCGTGACAAGAAATGCAGCATTTTACTTTGCAATGCCATCTGCTGTGATCCATTGAAGCAGGCGCTCTGCCAAGCGGAGAGACGACGCCTTCAGGACATTGCGGCAGCTAGAAGACGGGCCATGGCCCGCTTATTTGATACGTATGTAATTGTAGACTGGTCAGCATCCAGTGTGCCGAAAATGGGGCAAGATAGCATCTGGTACTGCATTGCGGACGCTTGTTTCTGCAAACCCCTTGCACAGGATGTGGGGCTTAGAGGAAGAACTGGATGTGAAAGGGAAGAAGCTGCAAGGAGGAAAAGCAAAAGGTGTGCTACAACAATCGAGTGTAAGGAACTGAATAAGGATCTGTTGGTGGAGAGAAGCGAAACGTCTGCGTCAATGCCTCAAGTTGCTAAAAGACAAGGGCGCAAAAGGAGTGTGATAGCTGGCATCACAGAAGCTGCTCCAACCTCTGCTTCTGGGCCAATCGTTGAGCAGCGCACAAAGTGCCCCCGAGTGGCACACCCAACCTTCCTAGCAGAAACCAACACCAGCAGCACCTCCCTTCCCGTGACGACCAATCTGTGCCCGCCACCTGGCTCGTGCGGGGAGGCAGTTCCAGTGGTTGAGAACATTCCAACCAGGGCCATGGCTGAAGCAGTATTGATTGAGAAGCTGGTGGGACTGGTTGCCAGGGGCCGAAGGGTTTTGCTTGGGTTTGACTTTTCCCTTGGGTTTAGCAGGGGTTTCGCAGCCGCTCTTGCTGAAAAGATCCGACTTAACCGTGCAGCGGAATCAATAGCTAATGGGAGCTTGGGTGGAAACCCGGCGTGCGTGGTGGATAGGGCGGAGGTTATGGGCAAAAGCGGTGGGAGTGGGGACCCGTGTCCTGGTTGGGAAACTGTCTGGCAATACCTGCACCAGCATGTTGTCGATGAGGACAACAATAGCAATAACCGCTTTGAGGTGGCCGCCCGGCTGAATGAACTGGTGAGCTTCAAACCAGTTCCAATGCCACAAAGTCATCACCGGCTTGCTCTGACAATCCCTGTCCTCCGTTTTGTCGCTGATACATGTGAGTCTTGGTCCCTTGAACTCCTAGTATAGAGTATGCTGACCTGCTGCCAAAAGTCCTGCAAAACACATGGAGTATCATGGAAGAAGCTTTGACAAACTCTCAAAGACCTCGCCCTTCCCTGCTTTGGCTCAGGGTCGTTGTGAGCAGCAACAGGTTGGAAAACTCATGCAGATCAAAAAGGCCGATGCAACTAACAAGTCAGCTTCTGAGCACTCTCTCCTATCAATCGAATCAATCCAATCTGTACAGGTGTCCGGGTCTCCCTACCCTTTTTGGGGCTGCCCGCCCTCTCGAGCTTCACCCTTCCTGTGCCCCAAGAAGCAACTTCCCCTCCCTAGTTCGCCGGTATTTCCTGAGAAAAGGGCGGCCGAAAGCAGGTGCACTGCTCAGACCACGTGGAAGCTCTACACGACCGGTGCAGTTGGCTCTCAAGTAAGGCCACGTCACCATCACCACGTCATCATCACCAAAAAGATTAAACTTCTACTTCTGCTTTGAAAAGCAATCTCTTTCTGGTCCTGTCGTCCTAATTCCCTGTCTTTGCGATTTGGTCTCCCTTGAACGCCATTCATTTGACGGTCGTTCAAATAGTAGCACTCCAAATTGATTGAAATGAAAATTACGTCTTTCTACTGGGTATGAGCCTGGATACGTTTTCAACGACTCTCAATCAGCTTTCCCGAAATGTCTCCCCTCAACTTTGAGGTGCGTTCAGTCTGCTCTCACAAAAGGTCGGGAATGACAATCAGGAGTGCTAATGAAAGCTTCGATATTGTATGAAGCGGATTAGGAGTACCTCACGACTGAAAGGCCGCCACAAAATCTCTCTTCCTAGACTCGCTCGTGGTTGTGAGTTCGAGCACACAAGTGAGATAGCGTGAACCTCGCTGCTGCTCAACAAGTGGGGCCAATGCAAACTAGGTTTGCGGACTAGTCCCCACTTCACCTACCTCACAGTCAAATCTCTCAGGGTCACTGTTGCTGATATATAAATCCGGCTTCGCCCTCCGAAAAAACGCCCTACTCCTGTATTTGAAGTGTTTGGATCTTCGGAAAGCTCATGTTGAGCGAGTCATTCAATAAAAAGCGCCCTTCGCAGACTCTCCTGGGCATCCCACGTGTCTTCAACATACGTCACCACCCGGACCTGCGAGACTGCACCCGGGTGTGGCCCTTCGAGACCGGCCTTCGGCCCCCGGGGGAAAGTACCGGGCACTCCGGGCCGTCCATCGTCATGGCTGAGGCGTACCCGTCCCTAGTTCCCCCGGTCTGTGTCGGGAAAGAACCAAAAGACGCAGGGCAGGTGCGTAAAACGCAGGAGAAGAGAAAATTCTCCAAGGATTCAACTTCAACGTGGAAGCCGTCAGTGCTATGGTTTGATTACCTTGTACAATACGATATGCTAAAGAGTTGCACGGGTCTCAGATGTTGCAAATGCAGTCAGATTGGATCGAGCAAAAGCAGCCCGTGCTCGCCCTTGGCATGGTTTGTGTGGTGCAGCGACCGCATTAAGGTCCCGAATCTTGCTTGATGACGTCGATGTTACTTCGTCGCTTCCAGCCTACCCATCGATCAATGCTTTAATCAATGACGAAGCTGCACTCATGCTGGGACCATCCAGAGCTGTTTCCTCCGATGCAAGAAGTCGCTTAAGATCGAGGCTGAAGGAAAAGTGTCTCACTTCTTCTAATGCAAGTCTGACGGACCAAAGATTGCGTTGCAGGTGCGAGCTCTCGCTTCGCACTTTGCTGCCCTCGACGCAGCTGGGCAGCTGGAGCACCTTTTCTACGGACCTTTCGGGCCTCCAGAAACTGATGAAAAGTACAGCGATCGAAAGGGTGAGCCCAGCGGACAAGAAGTTAATGCAAAACCCTCTTCTTCAAACAACCGTTCGCGTAGCTTAAAACTGACGGGGACAGGTAGCGGTGTTGCAGAGGATGCGGTCCCGGTGGACCTTGCAACTGTTGTGGCTGAAGAAGGTTGGATTCTCGGCGTCAAATGAACACGAATCTAGATGCTCGCGGACAGCCCGGCTCGCTCATAAGGGCCCTCGATCCAAGATGAGCGCCAATTCGACTCTTGCCTTAGGAATGTGCTCGGTGCAGGTGAGTTCGATCCGTACGTGCCATAACAACCGTCCGGCCTGTCCATTGTCGCCTTTTCAAGCGTGGCCGCCCCGAATTGTTCATGCTTCCCGAGGGATGAAAAAGTCGGCCGCGCCATCTGATCGGTGACCGATCCTGGTACGTCATGCCAAAGATCATGCTAGTAATCATATCAGACAGGATTAACTTCGGCAGCATTTCGCAAATGCAAGTTGCCCTTCTTTATCGGATTCCTCATATCAAATCTTTATATATAAGCCGTGTCAATATTGTACCGTCCTGATTACAAAGTCGAACTTTCAAGCTTTTCTGGCCCCGCAATCAAAACCGCCGTGTATCTCTTAGCCCCTTATCTGCATATATTTGATATTTCTCATAGCCCCCATAAACCCATGTCTTGCCTACACTCTTGCTCATTGCGCTTTCTTGTATCATACATGCGGCCACTTGCGTCTAGCCGTTCAACTCCCCCAAAAGCATTATCTATCGTACTCACCATATATATAGTAGTCTAGTACACCCTTGAGGGCCTTAATGGTTTATCCACAAAATTGTGTATGATCGTTAAAGCATGCATCCAGAACCTGGCGAAACTTTCTTAGTGTTAGTATTCCTCCCCTTAAGAGTCTTTTGAATCTCGTTTTGCAGAACCTTGCGTGACGCGCCCAATCTATCGGCGCGGTACCCCTTAATCCCGGCTGCTCTCCTCAATCTTTCGCAGGTTCTCAGCACTCTCGTTCTCCGCTTTGCCAAACGGCTGATGAGGGGGTAACTCCATGTAAGAGAACGAGGGCCGGCGAATGTGAGAGAAGGACAGGCGCTTATCCAAGAGGTGCTTGATGGACTGGGCCACGCGCAGAGTGAGTAGGGACGAGCCGGCAACGATTGCCACCGACAACACCTTGATCCAGTTGTCTGAAAGGAAAAGACACGGGAGTTGAGAAGCGAGGAAACTAAAGGAAGGAAAATGATTCTTGATAGGAGGAAGCAACAAGAGAAGCAGGCGATGGTAAACAGACAGATGAGATGAACGAAGGACGATGATCCAGCGGTCGACAAGCGTCTGGGGCAGGAAGTTCCTGAGGAATCGACTTGCCTTGGGAAACAAAAGGAGAGATTGGTAGCGAATCGGAATCTTCATCGCTTGAAGGAAAGGAGCCCGTGCGACATCGATGGGCGCTGAGAAAGCAAAAGGGAAATGTGTTCTGACTGTCAAGGACAGAAAGCCTCCTACAGAGATGCTTCTTACCCGGGGTGATGTCGAGCTTCTTCTCCAACACTTGGCACACGTCCGGGATCTCGTACTGCAAACCGGATGCAATAAAGTCAAACAGGGCAATCACACATTGCGTCACATGACTGACGAGGCTTATGCGAAACCGAGACGTGGTCTCGCGGGCTGAAGGAGCAATCAAATGAAGGAAGCCAGCAGGTGCAAAGGGGTGCAAAGACCAACATTATGAAGGAAATCGAGCTTTATTCTCAGAAGAACGAAGGTTGGATCGAACGTCGATTAAGACGAGAATGCTCCACGATTTCACAATGTCTGAAAGCTTTATCGCCGACCCTGATAAGCAGAAGCAAAGGGGACATAGAGCGTAGCCAAAGCAGACGGGTGGACTCAAAATCCACGTTTGCTTTCGAGACCTTCGGATCACCCCACACGCGGAATCGACTTACATCGACGCAGTGCCGAGTTGCGCACCCAAACAAACTTTCCATCGCTCGAGAAGCGTGAGGGTTCGTCAAATCTCGTGTTGTCAATGAGTTGCTGATTAACTTGTCAACACCTTACGCATGTCCTGTGAGAGCGACTGCGTTAAAGCCCGCAAAGCAGAACCATCACGCCCCGGAAAAATCCAACAGCCCCCCAGAAAACCCAGATTTGTTTATACCCTTGCTTACCCTGTAGGCTGCTAGGAAGACGTCGGCCCCCCTGGTCTTGACAAACTCGTCGTCTCCCAGCCCGGAGTACAGGTAGCGCACCAGGTGTTGGATGACGGTGTACGATGCTTCTTTGACCTCGAGCAGCAGGCCGCCCCGCGTGAGAGACGAGCGCGCGGTGGAGTCCTGTGACTCGATCTCGCGCTTCCACCGCTGCGGACGGACGAGTTGGATTTGGCAGAGTCAGAGTTGGCAATGACGCAGACTAGGTATACTTCTTCAGGCTTGGGTAGAAGGCAGTATGGCAAGTTCGCTCTAATTATTGGGAGTCCGTGCCCGTTGATTGGATCATGGAAGCAGCAAACAAGTATTGGCTGCTTATATTAAGAGTCTCCTGCCGTCAGACCGCAAGAAGGGCCGACCATCCGTGAACAAAGATACCGAGTGAGATGCTTCTCGTGATGCCCAGTCAGACTGACCGCTAAATTGAACATTCTCAGCGGCTCCTTCACATCACAGGATATTCATATAGCAATCACGAGACGGTGTCCTCGATCTCAAGTGTTTCAACAAGAGATGACGGCAAACAATCAACCACGCCTGACGGAAAGGCCCTTACATTAAGTGATCCAACTTGGTCACCGATAAGTTTTGCTTCTTCAAAGAAGGCGAGTCCCCAACGTGGTTGCAGACACGAGCATCAATCACTCCGTGATTGCGTATCATGCTTGAAGGGGGTGCATAACTACAGACGCCCGTCAATTGAGGACACAAAATCAATCAACCTCACTGTGCAGCCGCCCTCCTTCCTCATCCGAATGCAAGTGTGCGTACATCCATCAGCCGACACATCCATTGGCGCAGTCAGCAGCAGACAAAACTCCCCACTCCCTCCCCCTCACCTTGGAGGAGTGCATAACGATCTGCTTCAACGCCGGGATGTCCTTCCCCTCCGCCCGCAGGTCCACCAGCTCGTGCGCCCCGCTGTCAAACACGGCGGCCCAGCCCTGCTGCAATGCCGCCAGCGAGGCGGTGTGCTCGGCCTCCTGTGTCGCTGCATGTACGTCGGCGTTGGAGGCCTGCTTGATGGTGGCGGCTGCCAGGACCGACAGCATGGCGTCCCAGTGGCGATACTCCATCCCTGGAGCAGAATAGACAAGCGCGGTTAGATCTCTTCGTTGTTCAATTTGTGTTTGTAGTTCCGAAGTGTAAGTTTCGGTTTCGACTTTCCTTCCTGAGGGTATGACATGCGAAGTGCAGGTGGGGCATCACTTGCAGAGATTCGGAGGTCCTCCACATTGCAGCTGTCTAGTGCGGGCAAAAGGTAGGCTTGAACTCTCAGACCTAACCCTGTGAAGGTGAGGTGTTTGCTTGCAAGGTCTGTGTGCCAGAATCAACTATGAAAAATATTATTGCTTCAGGATGTATTACCTTAGAGTCTGCAGGCTTGTGATGGTCTTTGCAGCTATGTTTGACCGGAGCCCTAGGAGTGGGCCGAGAGAAGGTGAAACTGCATGTCCGATCCGTTTGAGTCGAGTCTACCTGGTTTGAGCGATATTTGAACGAAGTTGCCATGCCTTGGTATGAAAAATCCAACTGTTTGATTCTAGATGCTCTTGAAGAGCTCCTTTCAACCTTCAACCCAGCCTCAAGGAGTAAAACTTGACACTATTTGCAAACCTCAGTTCAGCCCGCGATACCAAGATTGAGAACCCACCTTTAACATACAGCGAAGACTTGAGCTCCAGAGCCAACAGCAGGGGCGTCATGCCGTTGACCTTGATCTTGGCCGTCTCCTCTTTGCCATGCTTGGAATCTGACACGCGGACAATGCTGCAAAAGAGTCACGGAAGAAAGCACTGCTAATCTGTATTGATTGGCTGTCCAGAAACATGGCCCGAGAGTGGGAGGAAAGGAGCCAGCGGCTGAACGGAAAAGCATCTGCTGAACACACAAACATGCCTGATTTATGGACACTAAGGTTCTAGCGTCTCTCAACTTGAGTGCTCCTGAATGATCCCTGCCTTTCTGTTTTGGCGTTAGGAGTTGCAAAGCAATTCTTTCTACTTAGCGGCAGCTGTTGTTCCTACACTGATTTTCTTACTCCTATAACATTGTAGAGTCGAGGAAGGTTGGGGACTGACTTACTTCAGGAATTTGTCTGCTGCCTTGTCAGCTGCCTTCTTGTTGATGTCTGCCCCTACCTCCAGCAGAATCTTTACAATGTCGGTGTTCCGGGTTTTGTCATATTGACTCACGGCAATGTGCAAACCAGTCAACCCCTGGAGAAAAGATAATCTTGAATGCATGAGAATCCCCTTCAATTTCACACCGTCTCCAAACTCAGCACCGCCTGCAGGTCTCTAATCGATGGCCAAGCAATCATACTTTCAGCACTCGCTGAGGACTTGACTGTTATACCTTTTAAGGTGAATACTGAAACTCAAAAGCTCAGGCCAACTTTTGAGCCTGCAAGTAGTCTGCTGCATTAGGTTTTTCGAGCGCGAGAGGAGACAGGGCAGTCTGATTACGGAGGGGAATCTGGAGAAGGAGAATCTTTGGTGCACGACCGATGTTTATGTAGTGACCTGGCCCTTTCAGACTGGTGTGGAGCCTGCCAGCCAACTGCAACTGGAATTGAAGCTGAGTTAATCAGAAGGACAGAAAAAAGTTGGCATCAAGGACGACCGGTTTCCCTGTCAGGGTATGCCTTGTCTCTGAGCAGAAGTGCAAAATCAGACAAGGAGTGCCTTACTCTCATAATGGGCCAGGACTATGTTGGGACACTTTCCAAAGACCACAGACCAAAGAAATTGGTAACTACCGCGATTATTTGTCGGATGGGTGGGGCTAGTGAGGTGGGTTTGGATGGGCACGGACATGGAGCAAGTAAAGTGGGCTGAGGATCAAGTGTTAGCTTTGTTCCTAATCTAGGTAACTTCAGCTCATCATAAGTATCTAGAGAAATATATTGCAAGGTGATGGCAGAATTGGCGTTTCAATTACATTGTCCAGGGATGAGTTGCAGGGCAATTTTCCTTTAAGGCTAGAGGGACACTTACGGCGATGCTTTCTTGCCACAAACGTCTGCAATCTGGGATTGATCATTTCAACTCACCTCTTGATTGACGGCATTGACATCCACCTGTCTTGTCCGAGTCAGGATCTGCAGAGTTTTTGCATTCTGTGCTTCGACGCAGTGGAAGAAAGTGGCCTGATTCAGCTCCTTTTCCTTCTCTTGGCCAGCCGCTCCAGCATTGTCAGTTCCTGGATGTGAAATGTGCATCGACTCCAGCGCCTCCGCCGCAGAATTCTCCTCAGCCATTCCTACACCCCTGTGAAAGGTACAGCTGCTTCTTTGGTATGGGCAGGAAATCCCACCTTCTTCTGGACTTTCAGCTGAGCCTAGAGACTAGAATCTAGAAAGCCAGCATTTGCTTGGGCGAAACAGGACCCAGAATTGCGTAGGTGTTGGACTGGTTTCCTTCCTTCCTCATTCGGAATTCCCTAGAGCGCTGGCCATGCCTGCTGGCTTGCGCGCCGCGCTCGCGCGCTGAAAACGTGTTGGGTTTGGGTCAAAGATAGAAGCTAGTAGTAGAATGGATTAACCCAAATTGGCTCCTTTGGGCGGGAGCCAATTTGAAAATTTGAAATCTGTTGTGCTGCTGGGCCACTGGTCGCTCCGAGTCCAGGTCACAGTGAAGACGTAGGCTGACTTGAGAACTTGAAGTTGAACAGGATGCCGCCTTCCAAAACCAAAATTGCAGAAAGGGAGAGGGGTGTAGGCGCGTCCTGGTGGCGGCGAGTGACAGTGACAAACGCAAAAGCACTCAGTGTACAGGGCGGGAGTCGAAGGTTTCACTGCCAAGAACGTGATGCATCCCTGCACCTGTTGGCGTCAAGTTCGCTAATATAAGCTCTTCTGCTTAGGTGGCTGGCATACTAAGATCAAGAGGAACGCAGAGGCATTGTTGCACCCAGAGCTACCATAACAGGCCAGAAACATGGCACAGGGGATGGCGCAGGCGCGACTTATGCAGGAACGAAAAGCATGGAGGAAGGACCATCCCCACGGGTGGTTGGCAAAACCAAAGAAGCAAGCAGATGGTACAGAGAACCTGCTGGTTTGGGAGTGCATGATCACTGGCCCTGAAAAGGTGAGTTAACCCAACTTGTTCTCTTCTGCACTGAGTTCCTAATGTGACCGTATCCATACTCTGTGCAGCTTGGGTGAACGAAAGTATTCTTCGTGCTATTCGTGATGCAAGTTTGCTTACCACCTTTTTCTGAGACAGCGAGCTAAAACAATTGTCCTATCTGTATCATGGGACCGCATCCAAACACTGCGTTTGGATGAGAGAACACCTTATCTGCATTGATTCCTTCTGATGAAACTTCGCGCACCAGCTTCACTTTGAAAAGTATGTGGGATGACAGGACTCGTTGCATACTGTACGCAGACAGGTCAACAATCCAGCTAAATGCACTTATAGCAACCTCAATTCCGCGAGTTCTGCCAACTACCTCAGGTGCCGAACCAACTCCAGTCTATCTCCATTTTATCCCAGTACGCTCCTCCTTTTCCGGCAGTTCACAAGCTACTTCACCCAGCTCTATATCTTGGATTTTGCAGATATGGTAGGGATGACAAGAAGTTTTCAAAGAGCACAAAAGCCTGAAATGAGGGCCCCAGTTCGAAATGACCAAAGTCTTTGGAACCATCTTTTGTGGAGCTCCAAAGATGTTGCCAAAACTCCTCCCAAATTTTTGGGCCTTCTGGTGGACAATCGTGGACATTAAGCATCCCTTCCACCAAATACACATAAGAAGGAAAGTCCAACAGAAGAAGGTACAACATTTGTGAGCTTCGATCCGGCACATGTGTCATTATTAGCTGCAACTTTGAGATGTCTAACGCTGCACAATCAAATGCAGACACCTTGGGAAGGGGGCGCGTTTCCAGTGACTCTCAAATTTTCTGCGGACTATCCAGCTAGGTCCCCAGAGTAAGCATCGAATCTTCAGATCTCATTCCCCTCGTGCAAGTAACCTCTTTAGCTTGTGCAGAAACAAGTTCAGTGTTCAGACTGGCCGTGTCAGTGTTGCCTTCTCAACGAAGAGCATTGGATAACATAGTGCATCAGTCAAAGTGCTCACATAAACCTCTTGGTAAATCTCTCCTCCTCTCTTCAGGTTTAGCTGTAGCTTTGCACCATCATCTGATTATCAAACTTTCTATCTTAGCAGTAATTTGAGTCATTGCCTTCTTCCATGCAGATGCGCCTTTCCGGCTGGATTCTTCCATCCCAATGTCTACCCCTCTGGAAAGATCTGCTTGAGCATCATCAACCCCCCCGAGAACAAGGGAACCTGGAAACCGTCTATCACTGTCAAACAGGTAAGTTGATATAGTTGTTCTTTGATACCAGGCATGTTTGGCCGGCCTGTCTAAAGTACAAATACATTGCTTGAGTGCTTGGCGTCTGGAGCTGATGTTTGAAAATGCATCACATGCATCCTCATGCATTTCTCGCCTTCGTCTTAATGCAGATCCTTTGCGGGATCCAGAGCTTACTCAACAGTCCAAACAATGCTGATGCTGCGCAACAGGCAGCTTATGACCTATACGGGTGAGTCGAGTCGACCCACCGCTTACTGCTCAGTCAAAGAAGTGTGTGTTGCAATCTTTGCCTTTTTGAGGTCAGGGTTTCACATGCCTGTCCAACGCAAGATGCAGGATAACATTTGAGACCACGCACAAGAATGACACATCTCGTCTCTTCCAATTGCTCTTTGACATAGTTTTGACCATCACGTCTTAGCAAAAAATGGTGCAAATCGTGTCTCATTACTAGGCTTGTGTATCCGCAGGCGGAGCAAGTCCGAGTATGAAGCAAAGGTACGAAGAGAGGTGGCCAAGAAGTGGAAGCCCCACCTGGCTGACGTGACCAACATATCTTAGAAAGTTGAAAGAAAGGCTGGAGGTTGAGCGGTGCTTGTTGATCGTAATTTGCAGCTCAAGAATGGCCACGCCACGGAAACCATGCGACGCTATTTGTGGCCAGAGTCCAGAATTGTAAGTGTATCAGCTCAAGTTGAAATCCCTGGAACTAAGGGTTGGTGTCGCAGCCTACTGGATGTAACGTTATTTCGCAGAAAGGTATGGGCAATGCCGCCTAAGAGATCATAGCACCGGTAGATTAAGTTCTTGAAATCATTCAGCGGGGGACTTGTTTATGCTGTTCCAAAACAGAACGAATCTGCTATTTTGCCAGTTCCACATTTACAGGTGGTTCTTGGAAGGTATGTACTTGGATCTTTGGAAGATGTGTCGTGAAGGGGATCTGAGACATCATGTGCAATTTATTGGGAAAATACGAGGTATCAAAAGCCACGTCCAAAACTGCGCCTATTATTTATCTATTGAGGTTGACACTGGGCTTTCTCGGTGGCCCACTACCATACCACGCGCTCAGTGCGGCAGCTTGCAAGCGGTTGCATGTTCGACATCCAGTCAGTGTAAAGTACGTGATGCATGCACATGTCTGCAGGGCCGCACTTTGAGTTATGTGCATATACAGTCACGTGTCTACAGCCGGGCTTTACGTCATGTGCATACAGCCGATTTTATAGCTTGTCACGAGATATATGGCCGATATGTTGTGGCGAGACGATCAGAAACTCAGAATCAGCGCAGTTATGGGCGAGTCTCACGCGATGTAACGGAACTTGAGATTATCAATCTCAAATCAGTTGCTGCTCATGGTGTGGTTGCACCAGTGATGACGCGTGCAGCAAAGGTAAGTAACACTTCTTTGACCGAAGTTTCAGTTGTAAATTTTGAACATAAGCTAGCAAGCGCTTTTGATTAGACACATTTGGCCCAGCTTTACAAAGTCGTCGAGGCATATTTTACAAGCTTCTTCAAGTCCACACAAGTTCACGCTTCCTTGCGCGGAAGGACAGACAGGCGCCCTGAGCAATTCTTTGCTGAGGGACGCCTTTTCGGGTACCTCGGGGCGGCTAACTGATTCAGCTTGCATCGCCCTGATTCTTATCAGACTGGCCCTGCAAGGGAAATAGGTCCGGCCAACTTCAGCACAAGGGTCACAAAGAAGAACCAAGTACAGCTCAGGCCGAAAACCCCACATCGAAGTTGCAAAACAATCCACTGTATACTTGAACCCCAAAAAGGACACCTGATGGAGCTAGCTGCTCCCTGCTTGCCATGTCGTAGAAAATTTGGAATTGCTCACTCCGTTTTGCACAAGAAAGTCCCTTTCCGTCCTCAGAACCAGACATCGACTAAGACTTTCGCATCAGAGCACGGAACGAAAGCGGTAGTGTCCTGGCCCCTACCTGCAGTTGGCCGGCGGCCCCCCCCTCCGACGCCCCCTGGCCCCCTTGCTCGGGTTTCACCCCCGCTAGTTGCCCCGCCGACAGCCGCCGCTGCAATTCCTGCACGTCCCCGCTGCTCCCGTTCCTCCTCGCTGACATCATCGCCGTCCGCGCAGCGCTCTCCGGCCGCTCTGCCGACATCAGCACCTGAGCCGGCGACAGCAGCGTGGTCCCGCCCCGGGGGCTGTTCAGGTTCGTGGGCGGGATTTGCAACCGGGGGGCGTTCGCACCCCCGCTGACGTCGCCCCCCCGCGAGAGGTTGTACAGGCCCGACGTCATCGGAGTGAGCGTCTGCGTGGACCGCCACTGGGGCCCGTTCGCACCGGCAGTGGCCCCGGGAGACAGCGCCTGTGTGACTCCGCCACCTTGGGGTGACGTCATCATAGGCGCGCTGATCCCTTGCGAGAGGGGGGACACCAGGCCTTGGCTGAACCCTAGCCGGGGGCTCTGGCGCCCGTTTGCTGGGCCCCCCTGGCGCGGCTGAGGGGGGGCTTGATTCTGGAGCTTCGGTAAGTTGCCCGCTGACAGCTGGCGCGCGAACTGCTGCCGCTGCTGGGCTTGAGCTTGCGCCTGCTGCTGCTGCCTCTGCTGCGCCAACAGCTTCTGCTGACTGTTGGCCAACTGCTGGCCCGCCAACTGGTTCTGCAACAGCAGCATGTTCGCCTGCGCTCCCCCCTGCTGCGCCATCGCCATCGTCTTCGCGAGCGCCTGCGCCGTCATCCCCTGCGGTAGCCGTATCCCTCCCCCCCCGCCTTGCAAGCTCATCATGCCCCCCCCCCGCCCCATGGCCCCCAGCTTG